CCAACCCACTCAGCCCGGCCAGGCTCCCCAGCTGGCCCTGCCTCCAAGCAAGCCGGGCGTGCTGGCCGTGGATCTCAGCAGGCCCCTGCCCACCCTCGAGAGCCCACCAGGCTCAGCAGGCCAGGCCGCAGGCAAGCTGCGAGCTGGCCGCCTTCGGAAAGCTGTCTAACATTGTTTCTTATCCACTTTCACCTATTCCCTCGCTTCAGTCCATGCCCTACCTTTCACTCCTTTCCAGACCCTTCTGATATGAGTAAAATGAGAGGAGGAGGTCAGAGGGACGAAGAACAGCTCTCTCCATTACTTTCTCTCATCTGCTTTGACCCCTTCCGTTTCCTGGCTCCATGCATGCCCTGCGAGAAGAGAAGAATAAGAGAGAAAAGAGGAAGAGCAGAGGAGAAACTGGTCTCCCCTCTTTCATTACGTAGCATTTTTTTTGGCCACTTCCTCCACACTTCTCGTATCTTCCTCTCTCTTCTTCCTCTGCTGGGCTTGAAGCTCTCTCTCGCCCTCTCCGCAACTCTCTTCTTTCTGTCGAGCGGACGAGCGGTGGGAGAGGAAGGGCACAAGGTGAGTGAAGACGAGAACACTTCTTCCTTGTCTTCCTCCGCAACCTCTTCCTGGTTTTTTTTACCAATGAGACGGTGAGATAGGACAAGCAAGGCACTTTCGACTGCTTTCTGCATCGCTTCCCCTCCCCTCCTTTCTCTCACTCTCTGCCTCTGTTTTTGCTGGTCTTTCTCTCTTACTTTCTCTCTTTGTTTCTGTGTTTGTTTCCTTCTGGCTCTCGTTCTTCTTCTGCCCTTCTCGGATTGTCTCTCCGCTTCTGTTGTCTTTCTCTTACTCCCTTGTCTTCTTCCTTGTGAATTGTCCTTCTTCCTTCTGAGTGATAGAGGGAGAAGGACGGGAGGCAGGAAAGGCAGGAGGAGAAGGAATAGGGGGCAAGCGATTCTTTCCAAGCGAACATAATAGGCGGAGAGCAGCGGAAAAGGGAATGTGCAGAAGTAGACGGGAAGGGAGGGAGGGAGAAAGAGGGATCTGGAGAGAACAATGAAAAGGAGGATGGATGAGGTGATGAGAAGAGTGCCCTTTGCATGCCCTGAACTCTCCGTTTCTTTCATTTCTCCTTCCTTATGAAGATGAATAGGGTAAGAGAAGAGGAAGAAGGCAAACGGCAAGGAAGTAAGAGAGGCGAGCGAAGGAGGAATTCTCCTTTCTTCTCCGAACCGTCTTCCCGCATCTTACCGCTTCCTTTCTGTTGTCTGCTCTTCTTTCCTTATGTCTTCGCAGAGCCTTTCCTCCTTATCCTTTTCTTTCCTCTGGTCATTCAAAAAGGAAAAGAGGAGGAGACGCGAACTGATTCTCCTTGCTCCTTCTTACCAAACTCTGCTTCTCTACATCCCCCTGCTTTCTTTATACTCGGTTTGGTGTTCATGTCCTCAAGAGGCCCCCTTAGGGAGGAAGTTGGTGGCCTCCAGAAAGTTGTGGAAGTGTCTGAAGGCGCCTACAAGCCTCCTCGAAGCCCTCGCGAGGCCCGGAGTCCTTTGAGATACGGCAACACTGGTCCTCTCTCGCTTCCTCTTCTGTGTCCTTCTTCCTAGTCTTCCTCGTTTCCCTTTCTTTCGCACTCGACTTCCCCCACTCTCTGTCTATGACTTTCTCTTATCCACTTTCACCTATTGCCTCGCTTCAGTCCATGCCCTAGCCTTCACTCCTTTCCAACCCCTTCTGACATGAGCAAGCATCAGGAGAATGAGAAGAGGAGGTGAGAGGGACGAAGAACAGCTCTCTCCGCTACTTTCTCTCATCCGCTTTGACCCCTTCCCTTTCCTAGCTCCACGCGTGCCCTTTGCTAAGAGAAAAATAAGAGAGAAAAGAGGAAGAACAGAGGAGACAGGGGCTTCCGCCCTTTCATTACGTAGCTTTGGCTTACGCTTCTTTCTTGTGAATCGTCCTTCTTCCTTCTGAGTGATAGAGGGAGAAGGGCGGGAGGCAGGAAAGCCAGGAGGAGAAGGAATAGGGCAAGCGATTTTATCAAAGCGAACATAATAGGCGGAGAGAAGCGGAAAAAGGAATGTGCAGAAGTAGACGGGAAGGGAGGGAGAGAGAAAGAGGGATCTGGAGAGAACAATGAAAAGGAGGATGGATGAGGTGATGAGAAAGAGTGCCCTTTGCATGCCCTGAACTCTCCGTTCCTTTCATTTCTCCTTCCTTATGAAGATGAATAGGGTAAGAGAAGAGGAAGAAGGCGAAGGGCAAGGAAGTAAGAGAGGCGAGCGAAGGAGGAATTCTCCTTTCTTCTCCGAACCGTCTTCCCGCATCTTACCGCTTCCTTTCTGTTGTTTGCTCTTCTTTCCTGATGTCTTCGCAGAGCCTTTCCTCCTTCTTATCCTTTTCTTTCCTCTGGTCATTCAAAAAGGAAACGATGAGGAGACGCGAACTGATTCTCCTTGCTCCTTCTTACCACACTCTGCTTCTCTACATCCCCCTGCTTTCTTTATACTCGGTTTGGTGTTCATGTCCTCAAGAGGCCCCCTTAGGGTGGTGGCCTCCAGAAAGTTGTGGAAGTGTCTGAAGGCGCCTACAAGCCTCCTCGAAGCCCTCGCGAGGCCCGGAGTCCTTTGAGATACGGCAACACTGGTACTCTCTCGCTTCCTCTTCTGTGTCCTTCTTCCTAGTCTTCCTCGTTTCCCTTTCTTTCGCACTCGACTTCCCCCACTCTCTGTCTATGACTTTCTCTTATCCACTTTCACCTATTGCCTCGCTTCAGTCCATGCCCTAGCCTTCACTCCTTTCCAGACCCTTCTGACATGAGTAAGCATCAGGAGAAGGAGAGGAGGAGGTGAGAGGGACGAAGAACAGCTCTCTCCGTTACTTTCTCTCATCCGCTTTGACCCCTTCCCTTTCCTAGCTCCATGCATGCCCTGCGCTAAGAGAAAAATAAGAGAGCAAAGAGGAAGAAGAGGAGAAAGGGGCTTCCGCCCTTTCAATACGTAGCTTTGGCTTACGCTTCTTCTGGCCACCCCTTGCCCCTTCCCTTATCTTCCTCTCTCTTCTTCCTCTGCTGGGCTTGAAGCTCTCCCTCGCTCTCTCTGTATCTCTCTTCTTTCTGTCATTTCTCAATCTCGTCCTTTCCCTTGTCCACTTTCCTTCCTGGTTCCCACTTTTCCGCCAGACAAGAAAATCAAAGAAAGGAGAGCGGGCGATCGGTGGGAGAGGAAGGGCACAAGGTGAGTGAAGAGGAGAACACTTCTTCCTCGTCTCCCTCCACAAGCTCTTCCTGGTTTATCACCAATGAGACAGTGTGATAGGACAAGAACAAAGAATGAATAGACGTGGAGGTCAAGGCACTGTCGGCTGCTTTATGCATCGCCTCCTCTTTCTGTCTCTCTTTTTGATTATCTTTCCCCCTTGTTTTCTCTCGTTGTTTCTGTATTTCGTCCCTTATGGCTCTCTCTCCGTTTCTTTTGTCTGTTTTCTTACTCCCTTGTCTTTCTCCTTGTGAGTCTTCCTTCTTCCTTCTGAGTGATAAGGGGAGAAGGACGGGAGGCAGGGAAGGGAGGAGGAGAAGGAACAGGGCAAGCGATGGGACAAAGAGAGTGAGAGAAAGTTGAAGGTAAGTATCAAATCAAGCATAATGTAGTAGGCGAGAGAAGTGGAAAAGTAAATGTGCAGAAGTAGAGAGGAAAGGATGGAGGGAGAGAGAGAGAGCGAGAGAGAGAGAGAGAGAGAGAGAGAGAGAGAGCGAGGGGGAGATGGACAACGCAATGAACACGAGGAAGGAGGAGATTATGAGGAACAGTGTCACTTGCTCTCCCTGAGCTCTCCGTTCTTGTCGCTTCTCCTTCTAATTGTGAAGAAGGATAGGAGCAGAGAAAAGAAGGCAAGGGCAAAGAAAGTCAAAGAGCCGAGTGAGGGAGGAATCCACCTTCCTTCTCCCAACCATCTTCCTCCATCTTATGTCTTCGCTTCTGTTTTCTATTCCTTCCAGCAAGGGAGCAAGGAAAGAGGGGACAGAAGAGATGAGAGAGCGAGACACGGCAGAGAGGAAGACAGAGCGAGAAAAAAGAGAGAGAGAGAGAGAGAGAGAGAGGCGGAAGAGAGACAACGCGAGAGGAAATGAAAAAACGAACCACGTCGAGAGGAACTGACGTCGTCCCTTTGCCCCTCCCTCGTGTTACCCCTGTCATTGACAGCAGAAGGCGACAAGAAAAGAAACAGAAAAAAGATCAGTCAAAGGAAGGAGAGAAGGGAGAGACGAGAGAATGAAGAGTTCACTTCGTCCATCTTCATGCCTATTCCTCTGTCATGACTTCAATTTCTGTGTCTTCTTGACAAACGGCAGAGTGGATAGGCAGGAAGAGGAACGGGAATGAGAGAAAGACGCAGGACGAGAAATACACAAGACAGATTCTTGATGGTTCCCGGCGCGAGAGGGACGGGAGGACATTGTGATAGACTGTGATAGACCCTAAAACCAGCACGGAGAACTTGTGAGAGCGTAAAACCATCTAAATCCTCATAAACTCCAAACCTTAGATCTTCCATAGTATACTGACCGCGGTAAACCATAGTTAGGAGCTAAGACCCTAGACCCTTAAACTCCTGTCGAGACCTTTACACTGTACACGCTTCGGCCTCCCGATGTAACCGTCGTGCCAGACCTTGTCGTCGCCGTGTTGAACCCAGTCGTCGTCGTGCTAAACCGAGTCGTCGTCGTCCTTGTCGCCGTGGTGTTGTTGCAATTTAAATACAAAGCCCAGCAGGATTGCCAAATAGACCCTAAAGGTCCATGCCACTTTTGGGGTTCCTGATTATAATTATAGTACAATGGGCCCCAAGACGCAATTCTAATTATTAAGGCCCCTACATTAAGTTCCCTGGGCCTCTAAGCATGACCTCATCAGACCCTTCTTGAGCCCTTATAAAACCCTTGCAGAACCCTGATACAGGAGGCGGTGCAGAACCCCTGTAAAACTGGACGCCCTACCCCCTGCGAGGACGCCCACCCACCGCCGCGTGAGCACTCGGCGATCTGCTACGACCCGGAGGTCTTTCGATGGCCAAGACGGCTTTTTGTGGTTTGAGGTATTTCAGGGTTTTCAGGCTATAGAGAATTTAAGGGCTTGGGGTTTGATGAAGTCTGAGGATTTATGCTTCAAGCTTCAGGGTTTGGGATTTTGGATTTAGGATTTGTAGTTTAGGGCGAAACAAGAATTGGGAATCTACGCTTAGGATGTAGAGTTTGGGGGGCTGAGGACTCTGGGTTTTGTTTGGTCTGCAGTTGCTCGCGTGCCGTTTCCCGTTTGGGTGCTTCGACTTTCGTCTATGGCTTTTGCGTTTCGTGGCAGCACCTGAATGCTTGCCATTGAATGACTGATGTTGCTATTGCCGTGTACTGATATGACTGGTCGCAGCTGTTGCTCCCAATGCTGGCTGTGGCTGAGTTTACCCTAGACCCTAAACCCTAAACCCTAAACCGTAAAGAGTTTATTCTTTTCGTTTGTCGTGTCGCGAGAAGCCAAAAGCCCGGTGAACCCTCAGCCTAAAGCCCCGGATCCCAAACCCCAACACCCTAGACTCTAAAGCAAACAACAAATATACTGAAGCCTAAACCCCAGACCTCTAAGCCCTAAAACCTACAACCCTAAATCCCAAACCCCAGAACCCTAAGCCCCAAATCCCAAACTCTGAACCAACCCTAAACCCTAAACCCCACGGTTGATGATATAAACCCTGCATTACCCATAAGAAGGAATATACCACAATTCCGATAGTTTAGGGTCCTTAAGGTAATGCAGGGTTTATATCATCAACAGTAGGTCCTTATTAAAAGCCCAAGCTCTAAAACTCTAAATCTTAAACTCTAAAGCCCTAAACCCTAAACCCTAAAGCCCCGAAACTCTAAACCCTAAACCCTAAACAAAAGAAAACCCTAAATCCTAGGTCCTTATTAAAAGCCCAAACTCCACGCCGAGGAGTCTCGGCTCGTGATCTTCGGCGGCTGGGCGAACAAGTGGCTGGAGCCTGGGCCGAAACGCCGCGGGGTTTTGTCCCACCCCAAGCCGGGTTCTTTGAGGGTCCTAGGGCTTTGGGTTTAGGGTTTAGGGTTTAGGGTTTAGGGTCTTGGGGTTTAGGGGTCATTAGGGCTTCAGTAGGGTTCAGGGTTTAGGGGAATCCCTAAACCTATACCTTAAGCCTGCCCCGCTGAGGGTTCAGTCAGGGCTTAGGGTCTTGGGTTCAGGCGTTCCCTCTTAAAAACAAGAACAACCAGCCGGAGCCTAAATAGCTACAACTGTGTCTACCTACAGCTCCAATTGAAGCACTTAAAGCCTCTACTCGGATTCTGTTGCTTCTCTCCGAGGCCCCCGACGGGCTTTCTGGAAGCGCGCCTGAACCCCCTTTTGACCCGTAAAGTCTACTGAGTCCCCACGACAGCTGCAGGGTTTAGGCTTCAGGGCATAAGATTTGCACTGAAACCCATTTTTGAATTAGGGGGTGGCCCTAAACCCTTAACCCTGAAACCCTGAACCCGAAGGGAGTAGCTGCCGAGGACGACGTGTGGCAAATCAACGTGTCGTCCATCGTGGGCCCGCCCTATGCCATTACCAAGGCCAGCTATCCTCGACCCTACAAAAGTGTTGGCCTTATGATTTAGAGCTGGGTTCCAGGGTGTATCAGAGTATAACAATGCGAAGCAGCATTAAAGTCAACTACTCAGTTTTCTGTATCAGGGGACCCAACACCGTCCTGGATTGGTCAGGGCTACAATCTGAAAACAGACGTATACATGATCGAAATGTCGAGCCCTGAATGCATCGGGGTTTGGGGTCCTTTGGTAAACCCCAAGCCCAGCTTGCTCAGCAATTACCCTAAACCCTGATACGCCAAATGTGCGAAGTTCAGAAAAATCATGGTCAAAATCGTGATCGCGATAAAATCTTCACCATGATCTGAATCATAGTCAGAATAGTAATCACAATCACAAACAATCATGGCAATAATGCAAATGAGCATGTTCATGATCGTGTCAACGTTCATACTGCTAACTCCCATAATCCGAATAGTAGCCATATGGACTTTTGTATAGGAAACATTGTAGGACTAGGACCCAGAGTAGGCCCTTATTCCCTTTTTTAGGGTTCAGGTTCCCTTATAAGCCCCTTTAAACCAAAAAGGGCATCCTTTTTATGCCTGGGTTACTCTTGGGTCTAGAGGAGTAGTCATAGGAGTTTTACGGCGAGCGCCCTTAGCTCTAAATCTTCAGCGACCTACCCTCGATGCCTGAATACTGAGCATTTTCTATACCGCAGGGCCGGTCCTCATTTTAATAAAGTTCTTTACCGTAGGGCTTCTCACCTTCACAACATCAATCGTCGCATACATTCCCTTTTTTTCACCTCCGCCTTGCAAAAAACAGTAGATTATGCTCGGATTATATTCTAAACACCTTTGCGAATCATTCAGGCCTCTCTATTGGCATCCCCCTGTGCCGGGAGGTAGAGCCGCCCTTGGGCCCTGTCACAGGCAACATGAAAGTTACAGTGCACCTTGAATCGGTTCAGAGTTTAGGCTAAAGTTTAGGAGTTTAAGGGTTAGGGTTTAGGTTGAGAGGAAAGGGTTTAGGGTCCAGCGTAGGGTTCAGAGCTTAAGGGCTTTTGTAAAGGGTTAGGCGGTTCAGAGGTTAGGAGCTTTGGTACGGGTGGAGGGTTTTTGCGTCAGGTGTTTCGGTCTGCGCGTCAAGGTGAAGTTTCGGACCTCAATTGCAGAAAGCTTAGGCCCATCCTAGCCTACACCTCAAGCCCTCTGCACCTTCAATCGGAGATTCCATCCGCAGTTTGGCACCTTGCACTCGAACCCTTGTCTAGGGTTTAGGGGTTCAGGGTTTAAGGTCTAAGGTCTAGGGCCTAAACCTAGAACCTCTAGCCCTAAAGTTTGTATAAACCCTATAACCTAAACTTCCCCAAACTGCGCGCCCGAAGGCTTCACTTGGGTCCTAGGGTCGAGGGCTTCCGGGGGGGGGGGCAACCTTTAGGGTTTTAGGGTTCATCTGGGTGGCTGTCAAAATTATGGTCCCTTTTTTGGGTCCTTATTGTTTTACGGCACCTATTATTTAAGGTATCCAAACAGGGACCGTAATTCTGACAGCCACCCATATAGGATTATCGGGCTGTTGCTTGACAAATTCTGTTGCTTCCAGCATTTCATCGAGCTAAAGAGAGGTGCCGGAGCAAGAGTAGTCAAGGGGTTGAAGTGTTAGCCATAGTGTACCCGAAGCCCCAAACCCTATATAAAGCCCAAACCATGAAACAGGCAAAAAGCTCAGTCGATGAAGTAAGTAGTGTTTTGCTTTATGGCTTTGTAGGGGGTTAGGATTTTGGAGTTTAGATTATAGAAGTTGAGGTTACAGGTTTAGGTTTTGCGGCTGAGGAGCGTTTCTTTTTTTTTCGGATTTAGGGCTTTAGGGCTTTGGGGTGTAGTACAGGCCTGCCCTTATTACCGGAACGCAAAGCCTTAGTTTTAGACACGTGCAACCCAAAGCCACCATGCAGAATCTCGATTCCAAGGTACGGTGTGGGCTTCCAGTCCACAAACGGCATGGCGCTTTGGCTTGAGTCCTACCCGGCAGAGCCTACCCAAAACCCTGAACCCAAAACCATATAGCCTGCACCCTACCCTAACCAACCCCGGGAGGATTGGGATGGGTAAGGTTTTCAATAGCCTGGCCTTGGGGCTACACTTTCTGTCTACCTCTCTTTTGCTACATTCATGCTCTATCTCTCCATCTCTCGATCTCCACCTCTTTATCTCTCTGTCTATCTACTTCCCTACCTCCATACCTCTGTGTCGCTCTGTCTTTCCAGCTCTGCGTCTCCATGTCTCCGTTTCTCGACCTCTCTATCCCTTTATCCCTCTATCCCCCCATCGGTCTACCTATGTATGCATGCATGCATGCATGTAGCTGTCTATCTTCTTATCTACCGCAAGCCCCAAACCCTCAACCCCAAAACTGGGAGCCAGGGATGATACAGGACGTACGCAAAATCTGTTTTGTGGCATACATCCTCGAGACCTAAGAGACCCCAAGTGCCAAACATGAAACGAAGTTTTAGGGTTTGGGGTTCAGGGTTTCGGGTGTAAGGTGTAGGGGCCTCAATAACAAAGTATACTATCTTGGGGATCCTTAATATAATTTTAGTACAATGGGCCTCAAAACTCTTTTCTAACTATTCAGGCCCCTATATTAGGGTGTAGGGTTTAGCTCTCAGTGCCCAGGTGATCATCGAGTTTTCCAGCGGCAAGCTCACGGCCACAACGCAGGGAAACGTGATCAACGATGAAGCTTCTCAGTGGAATCTGCAAAGGATGGGACTTTCAAAATCTGGATCCTACAAACCCTAAGCCCTAAACCCTAAACCCTAACCCCTGAACCCTGAACCTAAATCTTCACCCCTCAAACCCTGAACCCTAAATCCTAAACCCTAAACCCCAAACCCTAAACCCTCAATCCTAAATCCTACACCCTAAGCCCTAAATCCTAAATCCCCAAGTAAGCCCTGAAGCCAGAAAGCCGGACCCCTTGGGCCCCTGAAGGGTGGGGATTGGGGGTTTAAGGTTTAAGGTTTAAGGTTTAGGGTTTAAGGTTTAAGGTTTAGGGTTTAAGGTTTAAGGTTTAGGGTTTAGGGTTTAAGGTTTAGGGTTTAGGGTTGGTGGTTCGTCATAGTTGGCGTCGCACTGTGCAGCACCCCAAACTGCACAGATCTACCCAAGACTCTGACCTCCTCATAAACATCGAACCCAGCTTGCCGAGCGCTAGCCTCGCAGGCCTATAAAGTCTGAGAAGCTACAACAGCTAGACTACCCGAGACCATGAACTACCCATTTTTACACACTTCAACAATAGATCACGCATATGCGTCTGTATATATATATATACACATTGAATATACATACACCTACATGACTGTTTTAAGCAAACAAATGAGTACACACATATGTATAGATATATACACACACACCTATATACATATATGTATACATATGAGTTGTAGGCCACAAACCTCCAAACTCATACTCATAAGTCGCAGTCTCTACAAAGAAACTCTCCCACCAAGACCCTTAGCCCTGAGTCCTAAACGTTAAATCCTCAGCGATTTCTTGAACTCCACCCAGTCTGAGCCGAGGTTATCGAGTGCAACACGCCCTGTGTCGCTGGAAACATCGGGCCCAAAGAGTGCCAGGCGACGGTCCAGGGTTGCGTGGGGCAGGGTGGAATAATTTAGGGGCCTAAAGAATTACCTATACTATTCTGGGGGTTCCTTATTATATATATATATATATAGTATAATGGGCCCCCAAACCCTATTCGAATTATTGAGGCCCCTATATTGAGGCTTCATGTCAGGGTTTAGGCGTTTCGTTCGGGTTTCAGGTCACCCAGTGCATGATATCAAACTCGTCACCGGCAACATCATTACTACTACCGTCAGAACCAAAATCATCAGCATCATGACCATTATCACCACTGTAGCCATCACCACCACCGTCATCGCCAACACCATCACCATCATCATCACCATCATCATCGCCATGCAAGTTGCGCCATCGCTGTCGTGCTCATCAAAGCTCTCATCAACAGGCTGGACGAACCTACCTAGCCGCAGGTCAAAGTGCAAATTGGCCCTCGAGATTTCACAACCACAGTGGCGTCCCACGGCTGCAGCAGGCTAACCCAAAACTCTAAACCTTGAAACCCGAAGTGCTACGCTGCTTAAAGGCTTCCTGTTCGGCGTGTTCGGGGTTTTTGGACGGCACCTCGATATCGGGACATTCGGCGGTTCGGCGTTGAAGGGCTGTAGAAGTTCGGGGCATAATGCTGAGGAGTCATAATCCTCAGACCTTTGTGCAGTACACATCAACGGGCGTTCTGTCGTTCAAGGCGAGATGCTGTCATGTGAGTGGTTGTCAAAATTAGGGTCCCTTTTTGGGTCATTATTATTATACGGCACCTGATATTTAGGGTACCCAAAAAGGGACCCTAATTTTAACAGCTACCCATGTATGTATGTGCGCCTCGTACGAGCTCTCTATGAAGTCTTATCGTGAAGGCTTAATCCCTGAACCCTACACACCCGAAACCCTGAAGCCAGTGCTCAAAACGCGAAACTTCTAGGCCTTACACCCTGAATCGAAGCCATGGGGACACCGACTTTCTCACTTGAAAACCCTAGGCAGGTTTAGGGTTCAGGGAACTAGGCATTAAACTCCTAACTTCTACACGTAATCAAGGCACCACACGTGGGAGCCTAAAAGAGAAACACTGCCACCTCATTCTCCGAACCTTGCCTACACCCAAAATCCTAGGTTTGCAAATCTTTGACCGAAAAAAACCCTAAACGGCCTAAGTCCTTGACTCTAAACCAAGGCACTACACCTACTTCCTCAACTCCATTGCGGAGAAGTCGCTGTGCTTCGGCCCAGGTGTGCTCCAGGATCACCCAGCTGCAGGGCTCTGGTTTACTGTACCTCAGTGTAGGGTTTTCGTGCCTAGGGTTCAGTTATGGGTTTGGTGGGTTTTAGGGTTTTTGGGGGTTCAGGGGGTTTTTGGGGTTTGAAGGTTTGGGGTTTAGGGGTTTTTGGAACATGCAGCAAGGATGGACAGTGCCAGGCTTCTCGAGAGGGCATGAGGTTGATTCTGGTCCAACTTTCCGGCTCTACCTTACTTAAAAAATTAGGGTTTGAATCTAGGGCTTGAGGTTTAGGATTTAGGGTTTGGGGTTTAAGGCTTGAGTCTATTTGCAAAGTTTCTTGATCTTCGATTGCGCCAAAAGGAGCAGCAAGCCAACATGGAGACTCGCTTCATGATCCAGGCGCGGTTCAGGGTTTAGGGGTTTAGGGTTTCGGATTGAGGTTGAGTGTTTCGGGCTGCAAAATTCTGGCATGTGGCTGCTTTTTGTGAGAGCCCACAAACCCCAAGCCCAAACTCACAATGCAACACCCTAAACCCTAAGTCAGAAATCCAGCAAGCCCGGACATGGAGCCCTCGTAGTGCGACCCTGATCATCAGAAATCCTCAAGCAAGGCGCCCTGATTTTCAGAGCCCCCCAATTCTTCAAGCTCTCCAGCCGATCCCGCAGCGGGAAAAGGCCCGAAATCAGCTCGGGGAGAACCGCAAGTCTGGGCGTGACGAGTTCATGGTCACCGTGGCTTCGGCAGTGCAAAGCAGGGCTTTAGGGTTTGGTGGTTTTTAACATGAGGTTCAGAGCATATTCGTATTTGGGGGTTATATAAGGCCTTACCTTACCTTAGTAGGGAATGGTAGTAATAGTAGTTATACTTGTATCCATTCCTCCATTCCCTACTAACCAAAGGTACGTAAATTTACCAGAAGCTCAAGCTTCTCGGTTCAACAGTCCTATCAGCAGGTGCAGCGAAGAGGTCCGTACTCTAATGCGTCTTCGTTACTCTCTGACCGTCAGGTTTAAACCAATTCTGTAAGGCCCCACGCTACACCTTAGTCAGGCGCCCACACAAGATACCTGCAACCCTCACTTCTTCATGTAGTAAGTCCTTATAAAACCCTTCAGGGCCGCTGGGAAATCCATTAAGCCGCTGATGCTGACAAGGTGCAGCAGAAGGTTCTCAACTCTGAGGGCAAGGAGGTCTTCCGCGATGTGTGCTTTGAGTTGAACGATCTGAACGACGGCAAGACGGAGGCCAGGGGTCGTTTAGGGACTTTTTGTGGTGGATCGGGATTTAGGATTTGGGATCCGGGGTTTACCTTGGAGTGGAGTCCTTCGATCCTCCGAAGACGACTCATGGCCTAGGGGGTCCAAAGGCTTGCATCGTGCTTTGCTTTGGGATGCAGCGGGGCTTCCAAGAGGATACCGAAAACCGATGGTCCAGCTTGCTGCCTACACCCCGAACCCTAAACCCCAGGACGTCTGTCACGTCCAGAAAGCCTAGGTCCGGTGGCGTCATCGCTTTCTGTAGATGTTAGGGCATTAAGATTTCCAACACACGGAACACCTTGCGTCGTGTCCTTTCTTGCGCAGGTCAAGTACATGGCCGACGAGGGCGAGTCTCTTGGTACTATGTTTGGGGTTTCGGGGTTTAGGGGCTTGGGAGTTTGAGGTTTGGGGTTGTTGGGTTCGAAGTTCAATTTGTGAGGGTTCAGGGTTTAGGAGATTAGGATTGGGCTTCAGGGTTCAGGGGTTTAGGATTTCGGTCTCAAGCCTTAAATCCTAAATCAATGAAATCCAAAATCCTAACTCCAACCCCTGGCAAAAACCTGAAGCCTCAATCCCGAAAGCACAAGACCGAGGGACCTCCAAGTCCCTTCAGTTCATAAGGGTGGGGCCTTACTAATTGGAACAGGGTCCCTCTAAAGGGATCTATAAGGGTGCTATAATATGGGGTCCCAAAAAGCATTTCAAATGTTGCCCTGCAGTCGCCACATGATCATACTATGATATGGACTAGCTTCGTTCTGTTCTTTATGGCCGCTCTATGCGATGCCTCAAGTCTGGGTGCTTAGCCCCAGGCTGGACATTCTAGAAACGAGCCTTCATCCCTCATCCTAAAGCCAACACCCTGACCCCTACACCCAGGTTGGTGATCCATGTGAAACTCATGGACGAACCCTGGCTTCGTGCTTTCGGTTTGGGGTTCTGGAGCCTCAGGGTTCAGGGCTTTTGGTGTGTTTAGGACGTAGGGCCTTGGGGCTTGTGGTACAGAAACTAGAGCTTTTGGGAGTGTACTTAAACTAAAGGGTCATGAGTCCTAGGGTTCGAAAGTATGAGTCAGGAAAATAATTACTATCAGGGTGCTTCTGACCTGACTTACTAAGTCCCTTCATTGATCCTGCCATCACACCTAGAAGCCACATAGAACCCTCTGTGGCATGGACCTTTAGGGTCTATTTGGCAATCCTGCTGGGCTTTGTATTTAAACTGCAACAACACCACGGCGACAAGGACGACGACGACTCGGTTTAGCACGACGACGACTGCGGCGACGACAAGGTCTGGCACGACGGTTACATCGGGAGGCCGAAGCGTGTACAGTGCAAAGGTCTCGACAGGAGTTTAAGGGTCTAGGGTCTTAGCTCCTAACTATGGTTTACCGCGGTCAGTATACTATGGAAGATCTAAGGTTTGGAGTTTATGAGGATTTAGATGGTTTTACGCTCTCACAAGTTCTCCGTGCTGGTTTTAGGGTCTATCACAATGTCCTCCCGTCCCTCTCGCGCCGGGAACCATCAAGAATCTGTCTTGTGTATTTCTCGTCCTGTGTCTTTCTCTCATTCCCGTTCCTCTTCCTGCCTATCCACTCTGCCGTTTGTCAAGAAGACACAGAAATTGAAGTCATGACAGAGGAATAGGCATGAAGATGGACGAAGTGAACTCTTCATTCTCTCGTCTCTCCCTTCTCTCCTTCCTTTGATTGATCCTTTTTCTGTTTCTTTTCTTGTCGCCTTCTGCTGTCAATGACAGGGGTAACACGAGGGAGGGGCAAAGGGACGACGTCAGTTCCTCTCGACGTGGTTCGTTTTTTCATTTCCTCTCGCGTTGTCACTCTTCCCCCTCTCTCTCTCTCTGTCTCTCTCTCTCTCTCTCTCTTTTTTTGCTCTGTCTTCCTCTCTGCCGTGTCTCGCTCTCTCATCTCTTCTGTCCCCTCTTTCCTTGCTCCCTTGCTGGAAGGAATAGAAAACAGAAGCGAAGACATAAGATGGAGGAAGATGGTTGGGAGAAGGAAGGTGGATTCCTCCCTCACTCGGCTCTTTGACTTTCTTTGCCCTTGCCTTCTTTTCTCTGCTCCTATCCTTCTTCACAATTAGAAGGAGAAGCGACAAGAACGGAGAGCTAAGGGAGAGCAAGTGACACTGTTCCTCATAATCTCCTCCTTCCTCGTGTTCGTTGTGTTGTCCATCTCCCCCTCGCTCTCTCTCTCTCTCTCTCTCTCTCTCTCTCTCTCCCTCCATCCTTTCCTCTCTACTTCTGCACATTTACTTTTCCACTTCTCTCGCCTACTACATTATGCTTGATTTGATACTTATCTTCAACTTTCTCTCACTCTCTTTGTCCCATCGCTTGCCCTGTTCCTTCTCCTCCTCCCTTCCCTGCCTCCCGTCCTTCTCCCCTTATCACTCAGAAGGAAGAAGGAAGACTCACAAGGAGAAAGACAAGGGAGTAAGAAAACAGACAAAAGAAACGGAGAGAGAGCCATAAGGGACGAAATACAGAAACAAAGAGAGAAAATATGGGGGAAAGATAATCAAAAAGGGAGACAGAAAGAGGAGGCGATGCATAAAGCAGCCGACAGTGCCTTGACCTCCACGTCTATTCATTCTTTGTTCTTGTCCTATCACACTGTCTCATTGGTGATAAACCAGGAAGAGCTTGTGGAGGGAGACGAGGAAGAAGTGTTCTCCTCTTCACTCACCTTGTGCCCTTCCTCTCCCACCGCTCGCCCGCTCTCCTTTCTTTGATTTTCTTGTCCGGCGGAAAAGTGGGAACCAGGAAGGAAAGTGGACCAGGGAAAGGACGAGATTGAGAAATGACAGAAAGAAGAGAGATACGGAGAGAGCGAGGGAGAGCTTCAAGCCCAGCAGAGGAAGAAGAGAGAGGAAGATAAAAAAGGGAGCAAGGGGTGGCCAGAAGAAGCGTAAGCCAAAGCTACGTATTGAAAGGGCGGAAGCCCCATTCTCTTCTTCTTCCTCTTTGCTCTCTTGATTTTCTCTTAGCGCAGGGCATGCATGGAGCTAGGAAAGGGAAGGGGTCAAAGCGGATGAGAGAAAGTAACGGAGAGAGCTGTTCTTCGTCCCTCTCACCTCCTCCTCTCCTTCTCCTGATGCTTACTCATGTCAGAAGGGTCTGGAAAGGAGTGAAGGCTAGGGCATGGACTGAAGCGAGGCAATAGGTGAAAGTGGATAAGAGAAAGTCATAGACAGAGAGTGGGGGAAGTCGAGTGCGAAAGAAAGAGAAACGAGGAAGACTAGGAAGAAGGACACAGAAGAGGAAGCGAGAGAGTACCAGTGTTGCCGTATCTCAAAGGACTCCGGGCCTCGCGAGGGCTTCGAGGAGGCTTGTAGGCGCCTTCAGACACTTCCACAACTTTCTGGAGGCCACCAACTTCCTCCCTAAGGGGGCCTCCCGAGGACATGAACACCAAACCGAGTATAAAGAAAGCAGGGGGATGTAGAGAAGCAGAGTGTGGTAAGAAGGAGCAAGGAGACTCAGTTCGCGTCTCCTCATCGTTTCCTTTTTGAATGACCAGAGGAAAGAAAAGGATAAGAAGGAGGAAAGGCTCTGCGAAGACATCAGGAAAGAAGAGCAAACAACAGAAAGGAAGCGGTAAGATGCGGGAAGACGGTTCGGAGAAGAAAGGAGAATTCCTCCTTCGCTCCCCTCTCTACTTGCTTGCCCTTCGCCTTCTTCCTCTTCTCTTACCCTATTCATCTTCATAAGGAAGGAGAAATGAAAGGAACGGAGAGTTCAGGGCATGCAAAGGGCACTCTTTCTCATCACCTCATCCATCCTCCTTTTCATTGTTCTCTCCAGATCCCTCTTTCTCTCTCCCTCCCTTCCCGTCTACTTCTGCACATTCCCTTTTCCGCTTCTCTCCGCCTATTATGTTCGCTTTGATAAAATCGCTTGCCCTATTCCTTCTCCTCCTGGCTTTCCTGCCTCCCGTCCTTCTCCCTCTATCACTCAGAAGGAAGAAGGACGATTCACAAGAAAGAAGCGTAAGCCAAAGCTACGTAATGAAAGGGCGGAAGCCCCTGTCTCCTCTGTTCTTCCTCTTTTCTCTCTTATTTTTCTCTTAGCAAAGGGCACGCATGGAGCTAGGAAAGGGAAGGGGTCAAAGCGGATGAGAGAAAGTAGCGGAGAGAGCTGTTCTTCGTCCCTCTCACCTCCTCCTCTCATTCTCCTGATGCTTGCTCATGTCAGAAGGGGTTGGAAAGGAGTGAAGGCTAGGGCATGGACTGAAGCGAGGCAATAGGTGAAAGTGGATAAGAGAAAGTCATAGACAGAGAGTGGGGGAAGTCGAGTGCGAAAGAAAGGGAAACGAGGAAGACTAGGAAGAAGGACACAGAAGAGGAAGCGAGAGAGTACCAGTGTTGCCGTATCTCAAAGGACTCCGGGCCTCGCGAGGGCTTCGAGGAGGCTTGTAGGCGCCTTCAGGCACTTCCACAACTTTCTGGAGGCCACCAACTTCCTCCCTAAGGGAGCCTCCCGAGGACATGAACACCAAACCGAGTATAAAGAAAGCAGGGGGATGTAGAGAAGCAGAGTGTGGTAAGAAGGAGCAAGGAGACTCAGTTCGCGTCTCCTCATCGTTTCCTTTTTGAATGACCAGAGGAAAGAAAAGGATAAGGAAGGAGGAAAGGCTCTGCGAAGACATCAGGAAAGAAGAGCAGACAACAGAAAGGAAGCGGTAAGATGCGGGAAGACGGTTCGGAGAAGAAAGGAGAATTCCTCCTTCGCTCGCCTCTCTTACTTCCTTGCCCTTCGCCTTCTTCCTCTTCTCTTACCCTATTCATCTTCATAAGGAAGGAGAAATGAAAGGAACGGAGAGTTCAGGGCACACAAAGGGCACTCTTCTCATCACCTCACCATCCTCCTTTTCATTGTTCTCTCCAGATCCCTCTTTCTCCCTCCCTCCCTTCCCGTCTACTTCTGCACATTCCCTTTTCCGCTTCTCTCCGCCTATTATGTTCGCTTTGATAAAATCGCTTGCCCCTATTCCTTCTCCTCCTGCCTTTCCTGCCTCCCGTCGAAGAAGGACAATTCACAAGGAAGAAGACAAGGGAGTAAGAGAAAGACAACAGAAGCGGAGAGACAATCCGAGAAGGGCAGAAGAAGAACGAGAGCCACAAGGAAACAAACACAGAAACAAATAGAGAAAGTAAGAGAGAAGAGAGAAAGACCAGCAAAAACAGAGGCAGAGAGTGAGAGAAAGGAGGGGAGGGGAAGCGATGCAGAAAGCAGTCGAAAGTGCCTTGCTTGTCCTATCTCACCGTCTCATTGGTAAAAAACCAGGAAGAGGTTGTGGAGGAAGACAAGGAAGAAGTGTTCTCGTCTTCACTCACCTTGTGCCCTTCCTCTCCCACCGCTCGTCCGCTCGACAGAAAGAAGAGAGTTGCGGAGAGGGCGAGAGAGAGCTTCAAGCCCAGCAGAGGAAGAAGAGAGAGGAAGATACGAGAAGTGTGGAGGAAGTGGCCAAAAGAAATGCTACGTAATGAAAGAGGGGAAACCAGTTTCTCCTCTGCTCTTCCTCTTTTCTCTCTTATTCTTCTCTTCTCGCAGGGCATGCATGGAGCCAGGAAAGGGAAGGGGTCAAAGCAGATGAGAAAGTAATGGAGAGAGCTGTTCTTCGTCCCTCTGACCTCCTCCTCTCATTTTACTCATATCAGAAGGGTCTGGAAAGGAGTGAAAGGTAGGGCATGGACTGAAGCGAGGGAATAGGTGAAAGTGGATAGGAAACAATGTTAGACAGCTTGCCGAAGGCGGCCAGCTCGCAGCTTGCCTGCGGCCTGGCCTGCTGAGCTTGGTGGGCTCTCGAGGGTGGGCAGGGGCCTGCTGAGATCCGCGGCCAGCACGCCCGGCTTGCTTTGAGGCAGGGCCAGCTGGGGAGCCTGGCCGGGCTGAGTGGGTTGGGCGAGTGAGTGGGGAGAGGGTGGAGAGGAACAGGGAGTAGAGGGTGGGTGGAGAGAGGAGGTAGAGGGAGCGCAAGGAAAAGGTGGGGAGAGGGGTGGGAAGAGGGAGGTAAAGGCAGGTAGGGGCAGGAGGGAAAGGGGAGCAGAGTGAGATGGCAATCAGGAAGGGTTACGGGTGAATGAAGAAGCGCGGATGAGGGGAGGGCGGGTGGACAAAGGGAGGGGAAGAGGAAGGAGTGGGGAGATGGGTGGAGAGGTAAAGGGAGTGGAGGGTGGGTGCGTTCTTTGGATTGTATAGTCTAAGGGTTTTCTACAAAGGGTTCCATATCAGGGATCTGTACAAAGGATCTATAGATTTCTATAAGGACTATATAAAGACTGTGTATGAGGGCTCCATATAATCGATCTTTCAAAGATTTTTTTATAAAGGACTCCATTTGTGGGAAACATAAGCGGTTCCTACAAGTTCTTTATCTCGAGGATCTGTAAGGTTTATATATCTATGAAGCTTTCTATATGGGCTCTATAGACCATAAGACAGATTAAAAAGTGATGAAGGTGATAAGAAGATGATAAGAAGATGAGTGGATGGGAGAAAAAGTGATGGGAGGTGAGGAGACATGAGATGGGAAGGGAAGGAATGAGTTAGGAGTGGGGGAGGTAGGAGGCAAGTGAGAGGGACAGGGTGGATTATTTGCAAACGCCTTTAGGGGGACGCTCCTTGCGATGTGTGATTTTTGGATCTGAGTTCTTAAAAAGCCTGAGAGGGGCACACCCCGTGCGATCTGTGATTTTTGGATCTGAGTTCTTACAAAATATTAGGGCGACACCCCTTGCGATTTGTGATTTTTGAACTTACTTGTCATGAAAACCTTTAGGGGACACCCCTTAAGATCTGTGGTTTTGGGATTTGAATCTTCACAAAACCTTAAGGGGGACACCCCTTGCGATTTGTGTTTTTTGCACTTACTTGTCATGAAAACCTTTAGGGGGACACCCCTTAAGATCTGTGGTTTTGGGATCTGAGTTTTCACAAAACCTTAGGGGGATATTTAAGAAGGAGAGAAGGGAGGGTGGGGGAGGGCTGGCAAAATCTGGCGGAAGTGACCTGTGGTCCAGCAAAACACCTGTAAATACCGCATGAAAACAAGGGCTAGGGATTTCACACATCTGCTGGCAAAATCTGGCGGAAGTGATCTGTGGTCCAGCAAAACACCTGTAAATACCGCGCTAAAACAGGGGCTAGGGATTTCACACATCTGCTGGCAAAATCTGGCGGAAGTGACCTGTGGTCCTGTAAATACCGAATTAAAACAAGGGCCAGGGATTTCACACATCTGCTGGCAAAGTCTGGCGGAAGTGACCTGTGGTCCAGCAAAACACCTGTAAATACGGCGTGAAAACAAGGGGTAGGTGTTTTTAGTTTCAGCACCGCTATAGTGACACATATTCCGCGGAAAATGTGTCATATGTTTGGTGTTAGCACAGATATCGTGACACATATTCCGCGGAAAATGTGTCATGTTGTTGGTGTTAGCACCGCTACAGTGACACCTCTTCCGCTGGATGATAAAATATAATAAGGATAATAAAAAAATGAAAAAGGATGATAAGATGATAGTAAAGATGATAAGGAGGGAGGGTAGGAGGGGAGAGGGTGGATAGGACGGGGTGGGGAAGGGGTGGACAGGAAGGGTGTGATGCTGGGCTGGGGCTGGGATGGCCTCGGACAGGTCGAGGGTCGGGGTTGGATAGGGGTTGGGGCTGGGAAAAGGTGGGAAGGTGATGAAAGGTGATAAAGGGTGACAAAAGGTGATAAAAGGGTGATAAAGGTGATGACAGGTTCGGTGGTGGGGGGGGTAGGGAGGGCAGGGGGGGAGGCGCGGGGGGGTGAGTGTGCAGGGGGAGGGGTGGAGGGGAGGAGCGGTGGAGGAGTGGAAGGATGGAGGGAGTGGAGGGGTGAAGGTAGTGGCTGGGGCTGGGGCTGGGGCTGGAGGCTCGGGGCTAAGGGGTGGGGGCTGGGTGCGGGCTGGGGATGGGGGCTGGGGGCTGGGGCTGGGGTGGGGCTGGGGGTGGGGTTGGGGCCAATTAATTTTTAAGGATTTTTAAAATTTTAATGGCCTTAAAATCTTTAAAATCATTAAAATTTAAATGGGCCGAGGTTTGGGCTTTGGAAAAGTTAGCAAACCATTAAATTTTTAAAAATCTTTAAAATCTTTAAAATTTAATTGGCCGGCCAATTAATTTTTAAGGATTTTTAAAATTTTAATGGCCTTAAAATCTTTAAAATCATTAAAATTTAAATGGGCCGGGGTTTGGGCTTTGGAAAAGTTAGCAAACCATTAAATTTTTAAAAATCTTTAAAATCTTGAAAATTTAATTGGCCGGCCAATTAATTTTTAAGGATTTTTAAAATATTAATGGCCTTAAAATCTTTAAAATCCTTAAAATTTAAATGGGCCGAGGTTTGGGCTTTGGAAAAGTTAGCAAACCATTAAATTTTTAAAAATCTTTAAAATCTTTAAAATTTAATTGGCCGGCCAATTAATTTTTAAGGATTTTTAAAATTTTAATGGCCTTAAAATCTTTAAAATTTAATTGGCCTGCCAATTATTTTTTAAAGATTTTTAAAATTTTAATGGCCTTAAAATCTTTAAAATCCTTAAAATTTAATTGGGCCGAGGTTTGGGCTTTGGAAAAGTTAGCAAACCATTAAATTTTTAAAAATCTTTAAAATCTTTAAAATTTAATTGGCCGGCCAATTAATTTTTAAGGATTTTTAAAATTTTAATGGCCTTAAAATCTTTAAAACCCTTAAAATTTAAATGGGCCGGGGTTTGGGCTTTGGAAAAGTTAGCAAACCATTATTTTTTAAAAAATCTTTAAAATCTTGAAAATTTAATTGGCCAGCCAATTAATTTTTAAGGATTTTTAAAATTTTAATGGCCTTAAAATCTTTAAAATCCTTAAAATTTAAATGGGCCACGGTTTGGGCTTTGGAAAAGTTAGCAAACCATTAAATTTTTAAAAATCTTTAAAATCTTTAAAATTTAATGGGCCGGCCAATTAACTTTTATGGATTTTAGAGATTTTAAGGCCATTAAAATTTTAAAAATCCTTAAAAATTAAATGGCCGGCCAATTACATTTTAAAGATTCTAAAGATTTCAAAAATTTAATGGTTTGCTAACTTTTCCAAAGCCCAAGCCTCGGCCCATTTAAATTTTAAGGATTTTAAAGATTTTGAGGCCATTAAAATTTTTAAAAATCCTTAAAAATTTATTGGCCGGCCAATTAAATTTTAAAGATTTTAAGGCCATTAAAATTTTAAAAATCCTTAAAAAATAATTGGCCGGCCAATTAAATTTTAAAGATTTTAAAGATTTTTAAAAATTTAATGGTTTGCTAACTTTTCCAAAGCCCAAACCTCGGCCCAATTAAATTTTAATGATTTTAAAGATTTTAAGGCCATTAAAATTTTAAAAATCCTTAAAAATTAATTGGCCGGCCAATTAAATTTTAAAGATTTTAAGGCCATTAAAATTTTAAAAATCCTTAAAAATTAATTGGCCGGCCAATTAAATTTTAACGATTTTAAAGATTTTTAAAAATTTAATGGTTTGCTAACTTTTCCAATGCCCAAACCGTGGCCCATTTAAATTTTAAAGATTTTAAAGATTTTAAGGCCATTAAAATTTTAAAAATCCTTAAAAATTAATTGGCCGACCAATTAAATTTTCAAGATTTTAAAGATTTTTTAAAAAATAATGGTTTGCTAACTTTTCCAAAGCCCAAACCTCGGCCCATTTAAATTTATTGATTTTAAGGATTTTAAGGCCATTAAAATTTTAAAAATCCTTAAAAATTAATTGGCCGGCCAATTAAATTTTAAAGATTTTAAAGATTTTTAAAAATTTAATGGTTTGCTAACTTTTCCAAAGCCCAAACCTTGGCCCATTTAAATTTTAAGGATTTTAAAGATTTTAAGGCCATTAAAATTTTAAAAATCCTTAAAAATTAATTGGCCGGCCAATTAAATTTTTTAAAGATTTTAGAAGCCATTCAAAAATTGAAAACCTTTAAAACTTGAAAGGCTAGATATTCGAATACGGATCTCTGTGGCAAAGAATTATAACAACGAAGCCGAATGCCAAATAGAACATAAAGGTCCTACGTACAGAACCCTCTAGGACCCTCGTGAAGCCTAAGAGGACCCCTTGCAGGCCTCAAGCATGAAGACGACGAGCACTCCCGTTTACTTACCTTGGGTGAGTAGGGAATGGAGGAATCGGGTACACTTATAACTACTACTACTACTACTACTACTACTACTACCACTACTACTACTACTACTACTACTACTACTACTACTACTACCATTCTTCCATTCCCTACTCACCAAAGGTAAGTTTAGGGCTTTTGAGGATAAACGTTGAAAGCCTGAGGCCCTGGCGGCAAGCCTTCTTTCTAGAGTATGGCAGCTTGCCTTGAGACCAAAGCCTAAACCCTGAGCCCTGAACCCAAAAGGGTTCTATAAGGATCTATAGTAGAGTTCTATAATAAATCTACTTCTTGCTCGTGTAATTAGGCCTTTGAGCTGTGAGACGAACAGATCCCACACGATGGCAGAGTGAGAGCAGTCACCGCCAGCTCGGCTTTTGGTTGCTGAAACCCTAAACCCAGAGAGGCCCGGAGCCGAAATCGTGCCTAAGCCCTAGAATCCCAATCCGACACAGGATATAAATTAGAAGGGGCCCTGTAATAGTGGTATAATGGGAATATAATAGGGCCCTAATATAATCCTTATATCACTATTACAGGGTGGGGGCAGCTTCTAAGATATAAGCCCCAAGCCCGGAATGCTAAACCCCCAACGCCCCCACCTCGGAAGCTTAGCCAAGCTGAGGAGAAGAACCCCTAAACCCTAGAAAACCCTAAAGCTGAGGAGAATAACAAGCCCCGGCCGATTCGCGGCTCGCCGTTCCGTCCAACGTTGACCAAGCGCCACGGCTACACGAACTAATACAGGGGCCAGAATAACTAGTTATTGAGATTATTTCTTCGGGTCCCTTAGTATATGGAGAGTGTAATCGGACCCCCTCACCTAAAACAAGTTTTAATCACTAGGGGGCTCGTGTTGTTGCAGGATGTAGGGCTTGCTTCTTACGGTAACGCGATTTCGAGTTTGGGGACTTGGGTTCAGAGTTCCAGGGTCCGCAAGGTTTCAAGGGATCCTGTAAGGGATCTATAAGGCTTTAGGGTTTTAGGGTTCCTTTAGAAGGAATCCTATAATGTGAGTCTGGAGTTTAGAGGTCAAGAGTTCAGGGTGTGTAGGGGTCTACGATTCGGCATTCCTTAAAATATCTCCGAAGCCCAAATCCCAAGCCCGAACCTCCTGATCGGTGCCTTCTGGAGCAGTTAATTGAAGCCTTCAAGGAGCTTCCAACCCTTCGAAGATATTTCTTACCTTTGGTTTGTAGGGAATGGAAGACTGGTAGTAACAGTAGTTATACTTGTACCCCATTCCTCCGGTAAGATTTAGGCCTAATCACGTGGCTTAGGGCACTTAGGCTTGCCGAACACAGGTTTGGAGATATCCTAGACCCCAAAACCTAAACCGTAGAGATATGGGAGTTTCCGAAAATAAGGGACCCCAATATAGTACCCCAAATAGCAGGATCCTTACTATAAGGACCCCCCCAAAATAAGGCACCCCGAATTTTTCGGAAGCTCCCCTATAGCAGTATCGGGGTTGACTTTACCTACGACAAATCTCAAAGCCTGCAGCGGAAAGGTTCCGGGCAGTAATAGTGATATAATAGGAATATAATACATAATCCTTATAGTCACTGTTACAGTTGGTGGTATAATACATAATCCTTATAGTGACTGTTACAGGGTGGGGGCCCCTTCTAACTAATGCCCTAAACCCTCAACTAAAACTACCAACTCTAAACACCACGCCCTAAACCCTGAACCTAAACCCCGAACCTCGATTCGAGAACTTAGGGTCTCAAGTTGGGAGTGCCGACTTCCGGCTATTTTGCGTGTTTAGGGCTTGGTGTTTAGAGTTGGTAGTTTTGGTTGAGGGTTTAGGGCATTAAGGTATCCGGACCCAAGCACAAAATCCTTCTCGTCATCGGAGGATGGCAAGAAACCGAGCCAATGAGTACTCAGGACAGGCTGCTCTTTCTTTCCTTGGGAGCCGGATGGGCAACCTTTCACCTGTCTGGGTTTGTAGAATCCCAGAGACTCCAATATCCCTTAATTAAGGAATATTCCATCAATCGTATTAGGGATCCTATTATAACTTAAGGTATAGTGATTAATTAAGGGATATTGGAGTCTCTGGGATGCTAGCAGAACTCGAAAGGCTAGCCGTTTTTTGGCGAGGGTACTCGACCGCTTTCTTTCTATGTCGGTTCCGTAGATTGCCTGGGCCCCAAAGGGCTAACCTGCAACCGCCAGCACCAACCCCCGAAGCCCACTACGCTTTAAGCCCCAAGCCCCGAAGCCTGAAACCCCAAACCCTTCAAAACTTTAAGCTCTGACACTCTCAGCCCTGGGGTCCTAGGCCCCCTAGACCCAACAACTTTGTGTCGTGCACCATCGTACACATAAATCCTAAACCCCTAACCCCGAATCCTGGATCCCTCAAGCCCCACAATCCTTGCCTCCTTCTCAAAAAAGCCCCTGGCCCTCAGTACGCATAAAAAAAACTCTGAATGCCTACCCCGCTGTACGTGGGGATCTTGCCTTAAGCAGTCATACAGCAACGTCGGCCCTCCGGCTTGGGTTTCGGGTATGGGGTTTAGGCCTAGGGTGTAGAGCAAGTTGTCGGTGCTTTTTGGGCTCCGACCGCCCCTTCGCGCGAGGACCCGTGGTGACTGCCTGGTTGTCCTCCACGCTGAAGAGCCTGGACGAGTCCCTCGGGGACAATAAGCTTTACAGTACCGAAGAACTACCAAACCCTACTTTTTTTGTAGGTTCCTATTATAAACCCTAATATGGAATTTATAGGGACCCTACAAAAAGTAGGTTTTGGTAGGTTAAGGTAGGGTTTAGGGCTCAAGTTGCCGAAGCAGGGTTCAGAGCTTGGGGATGGGGACTCTTTCCAGTTCTCTTTACGTGCATTTGTTGACGTATCTAGGGTTTAGGGTTTAGGGTTGGGCCCTTCATTGAACTATGGGATTTTCTCATAAGGCATTGGATGAGCGTGTCGTCTAAATTGCGGGAAATCCTTCACTGCACAATCTGAAAGACGACCCACGCAGCCTTTGCAGCATAAGTAAGGGAGTATCCATCTTAGAGGAGGCATTATCCTTGGGCCCCAAGCTTTCGAGAAATCTTTAGACTCTACGCTAAGTCGTACTGTAAGCCCTCGAACCCTAGACGCTGGAACCCAAAATCTAAACCCGACTGTAAGGGCTTGGCTCCTGTAGGCACTTCAGAGTTTAGATTTAGGGTTTGGGATTTTGGTTTAGGGTTTTTAGGGATTAGGGTTTTGTGTTGTGTGCTTAGTAGCTGAGTGGATACACTTTACACTTTTTGGGATAGTATTACCCCCTATAAAACTAGAAGTCTACACTTTTGGGGGGCTTATGAGCTCAGGAACTAAGTATGGGAAGAGTTGAGATTTAGGGTCTTTAGGGATATTAGGGATTTTAGGGTTTTTAGGGATTAGGGTTTCGTGCTGGTATGGGCGAACTCTGGAGGTTCTACCAGACTACCAACACCGGCCACCAGACGAAGCTGAAGGAGGGAGACGTGCCCCGACGAGCAACTTTGGGGGTATTTCTGAAATGGGAGTTTCCGAAATTTAGGGGTACCTTGTGTATAAGGATCCTACTATTTAGGGTACTATATTAGGATCCCCTATTTTCGGAAACTCCCAAATTAGGGCTCACCCCGCATTTCTGGATAAGGGCTGCTGGTTTTTTCTTTTTTTTTGTTTGTCACATGGGCGGGTTTCTCCTGATTGGGAGCGCTTTTGGGGGGGGGGAAATTCGCAAAAATGGTCCTGCTGCCTCAGGGAATTATGTGAGGGATGTGTCGTGGCCGGATCAGGGTTTGAGGGATGAAGATTTAGGTTCAGGGTTTAGGGTTCAGGGTTTAGGGTTTAGGGTTTAGGGTTCAGGGTTTAGGGTTTAGGGTTCAGGGTTTAGGGTTCAGGGTTTAGGGTTCAGGGTTCAGGGTTTAGGGTTTAGGGTTTAGGGTTCAGGGTTCAGGGGTTCAGGGTTTAGGGTTTAGGGTTCAGGGTTCAGGGTGCAGGGTTCAGGGTTTAGGGTTTAGGGTTCAGGGTTTAGGGTTCAGGGTTTAGGGTTCAGGGTTTAGGGTTTAGGGTTTAGGGTTTAGGGTTTAGGGTTCAGGGTTCAGGGTTCAGGGTTCAGGGTTTAGGGTTTAGGGTTGAGGGTGTAGGTAGTACGAAGTCACCCTGAGCACTTGGGGACTTGAGTGCTTTGCAGGATAAGGGATTGGCAGTTTGAGGCTTTGTGCACTGGAGTACTGTGCGTCATTGCTTGTTTTAGATTTGGGCCGGTGTCCGAACCCTTCCGAGCCCTGAAGCTCGTAAGCCGTTGAATCTTTAAGCTTTTGCCTACCCCAGAGAACAGGAAGCAACAACTCCTTCAGGCGACAAGCTTGAGTTTCAACCTTTTCGCTCGTTCAAAACAAAAACAGCAAGAGCTGCAGGTGATGAACTTGATCAAGGTCATGAATCACATCAAGGACCGGCTGCAGCTTGGGGAGGCTTTCTTTCCTTCACCAACGCGGGGCTTCGGCTTTGGGGCTTTTGCAAGGGTTTGTGTGTTTCTGGTAGATGGGCCCTGGGCCTTTGAGCTGAGCAAGATTGCGGTTCAAGTTCGAGGCTTGACGGTTGCTTTAGGCGTTGTCTGAATCATCACTTCATTCGGCTGAGCTTGGGGTTTGGGGATTTTGGGGTTCAGGCCTTGCTGGGATCGCCAAACCCGGTTGTAAGCACTCTCTGGAAGATCAGAAGTGCTCTTAAACTACAACGGCCTTCTTCAAAACCCTAGTGACGAATTTCCCTAAACCCTAGGCCCAAACCCTAAACCCACCCGAAAACCCCCTAATGTAGGGGCCTTAATAAGTACCTATACTATCTTGGGGGTTCCTTATTGTAGTTATAGTATAAGGGGCCCCAAAACCATATTCTCACTACTAAGCTTGGGGTTCAGGGGCTCCATTGGGGCCGGGACTGCTGCCTATACTCCCTGGGTCGCGAATTCACTCCCTGAGTCCTTCTAGGAATCCCTGAACAAGCGGGTTTAAGGGTTTAGGGGTTTAGGGGTTGACGGGTCCAAGGATTTAAGGGTTAGGCTTTAGGATTTACGGGGTTAGAGTTTAGGGGTTTAAGGGTTTAGGGTTCAGGAACCCATGAGACCGCTAAGCCCGAAGCCTGAAGAAGCCCTGCACCCCAACATCCTAAATCCGGCAAGCAAGCCCTAAGTCCTAAACTCTGCAGGGTTTAGGATTTAGGGGACTCCTACGCCCTGATCTTTCAGAAGGAGCTGTACCCAAGCAGACCGAGCCTCGAGCATTGAGCCCTTAAGTTTGCCTTTGGTTAGTAGGGAATAGAGGAATGGGGTACAATTACAACTACTATCACTACCATATAACTACCATATTAAGTACCATATAACTATTATTACTACCAGACTACTACCATATTGCTATCATATTACTTCCATATAACTACTACTGCTACTACTACTACTAGTACTACTACTACTACTACTACTACTACTACTACTACTACTACTACTACTACTACTACTACTACTACTACTACTACTACTACTACTACTACTACTACTACTACTACTACTACTACTACTACTTACGACTACTACTACTACTACTACTACTACTACTACTACTACTACTACTACTACCATTCTTCCATTCGCTAGTAACCAAAGGTAAGTAAGCTGCCAGGACATGTACGATCAGGAAGACACCTTGATTCTCCGACAGGACCGCGAAGTCCTTTTGGCTTCGGGGGGTCGGGCAATGGATAATGACCCAGTTTCCCGTGTTTTGGCACCATGATGGCAAGATCCCTACTATGATCCTGCACCGCAACACAAATTCGTTCTAGAACCTTATGTAGCACCCTTCTTGCATGACCTTTGTAGAACCCTTATAGTACCCTCGTAACCTTGTCGTCCGCTTTCCGATCTCGCTTAAGGCAGGTTTGGCAAGACACGGGCCTCACATGGGTTTAGCAGTTGAAGAGAAGCCGAAGCTGAGAGTTGTGGATTTGGAAATTTAGGCTTCTTGGTTTACAGAGTAGAGTTGACCCAGGACCCGGACGAAAGACGTACCACTTGCGCCAGACATAGGGGTGGTAACTGAAGCGACAAGACTTTTAATTATGTCTGAAACCCGATTCACACACTTGTAAACTTTACTTCCTTAGCACCTCCACCCTCCAAGTAGAAGGAGCTCGGAGCTTCTTTCCTAAACAAAATCCATAGGGTTTGGGGTCCGGGGCTTGGGGTTCATATATCAGGAAAACCTAAGGCTAACGCCTATTGCAGAGGTCTGTACAGCTTGTAAGTTCCAATATACAACTTTTAGTAGAACTCAGTGTCAGACTGCAGCAAGCCCTATCCCAAAGCCCCTAGGACGAGATTGTGGAGACGCTGTCGCAGCTCGAGCGGGAGGGCCTGCCCAGCGACAAGCAGATGAAGCAGCTGAAGAAGATCGGTGCCTTGTCCATGGTGGGAGGGTTATATCAGGGTTCCCGGCATAACACGTCTCTACCTTGATTTCTAACAAAGTTCTATCTCTAAGGCTTCTGATTGTAAGGCATCTTTTTGGATTTGTAGATTCGCACCAAGCAAATAGAAGCAAATGCGGCACCCTGATTCTCTTTTTGGCATAGTGCGTCGAGAGACTCACGCCACAGGCCCAAACCTCTCACCCAGGCGCCAACCTCACTCAGTTGAAGCAGGACATCGTGGCCAAGGACCGGATACACGTGTGCGCCTCCCGTTTTCGGGCTTGGCTAGAGGATCTAGGGTTCGGGTTTAGGTTTGAGCGTTTTGTTTGGGGCTTAAGGAGTTTAGGGTTCAGGGACCAGGTTTGAGGCTTTAGTTTGTGGTGGAGCGTGCCGGGTTTGGATTTAGGTTTGAGGCTTCAGAGTTTTTGGGACTGAGAGTTTTTGGGTTCAGATATGGAGCTTCCTGCTCATGCTAGCAGGTAGCTCAGCACTTAGTACAATACATATGTAGTACACTCTTGCAACGACAACTCACTGATAGCCGACATGGTGCCCCAAAGCAGATGACTAAGCTGCAAAGTCTGGAGTGCAAGGCTACACAAGTCGAGCCCTCCAGCCTTCAACTCTACAGCCGAAACTCTCTGCTTTCTGTGTCAGCTCCTGCACCCCCGAAACCCACGCAGAACGCGAATGAAACCTGTTCAGCTGAAAAAGCAACCGCATGAGACTCTACTAAGCCCAAGACCCCTAAACCCCTAAACCCTAAAACCCTAAACCCTAAACCCTAAACCCTAAACCCTAAAATCCTCAAATTTCAGGAGAAGGAGATCCAGCCTATGGTTCAGAAGGATGCTTTGGCTCGCGGTTTAGGATCTCAGGTTTGGGACTTAAGAGTTCGATACAGGGACCTTATTGGTATGAGTATTAGTATTAGTATTAGTATTCGTATTAGTATAAGTAAAGCTAGAACCGAGGTTTAAAGGGCTTTCGGGTTTTATACGAACAAGAAGTAATACTATAGGGTCCTTAGGAGTTGGAATAACTTTTGCATTGGCTATATGCGGCTTTAGAGGGACTTCCTTGGCTTTTTGACAGAGGTGTGAAGGGTTTCTGGAGTTTAGAGTTGAGGAATGCGCTCGTGCTGGGTTCTTGACAGTGAACCCGTTGCAGCACGCGCCCCCTCAATTCCTAAACCCAATGCCCCGAACAACGCTCCTGTGAGCTATCATCATGGCCACTGTGCGCCCCCTCACACACCGGTAGACCCGAAACCTTAAAAACATATTCCAGGATGCAGGGCGCTTTAGGATCACGTGGTCGGTTGACCTTTTCTTCTTCGGTTCGTGTTCCGAGAGCCTACTGAAAGGATCATGGGACTATACTTATAATTAGATATAACCCCACTTAGAGTCCTTATAACCATACTTACTAAGTCCCATGATCCTCCAAGTAGGGTTAAGACACCCTGAACCATCAACCCTAGGGATCGGACCCAACGTCTAAACAAGCCGAAGTCAAACAGTCGACGGTTCAAACCCTGAATCGAACTTGAAGTTTAGGGTCTTTGGTTCGGGGTTCGGGGCTTTAGGGTTGAGGGTTCTGAACTTGAAGTTTCGGGTTTCAATTTTATAGGGTCTAAAGAATCTCCATCGTTCACCTTCCACAGTGGATCTACTAAACCCACCACCAAAATCTTAGACCTCAGCTGAGTCGCGGAACCTTCCTACACTAAACCCTAAACTTAAACCCCAAGCCCTAAACCCCATGGCTTCAGCATTTTTGTCGCAGCCCAGGAGAGCGACTTCTACAAGAAGGCAAGGGAGTCAGAAGCGTTTTGGAAGAGAGGGTTTACGGCTCTGGGGGTTTAGGGGCCGGGAGTTCAGGGTTTGGGGGTCTAGGGCTTCATCAGTCTTTTTGACTCGCGAGTATAGAGACTAGGGTTTTTTGGGTTCAGGGTTCGGGGTTTAGGGGAGTCGGGGAGGTTTAGGGGAGTCAGAAACCTTGTTGAATGAATGGTAGCCCTATCAAAATCACAAAAGCCCTCGAATCCGACGCCCAAATCCAAAACCTTTGCCCTGACCTAGTACCACAAACCCTAAACTCAAAGCCCTAAAATTCCACATCCTAAACTCTTAAACCCCTGATGCCTTAACACACGTAACTAAGCCCTCAAACCCTAACCTCTGAACCCCAACCCCTCAAACATTTACTCTAAGCTTCCTAAAGCTGTAAAGCAGGCCATTGCGGACTTCGAGAACGAGCTCAAAACGTACCAGGGCGGTCTCAAGAAGGAGGCATACTACTTCTACAAGAGCTGCTTGCCCAGCCTCTGGCTTTCCTTGTGCCATGGGATTCGGTTTTAGGCCCCAGGGCTTAGGAAGTAGGGTTTAGGGTTTAGGGTTTACGGTTTAGGGTTTAGGGTTTAGGGTTTAGGGTTTAGGGTTTAGGGTTTAGGAAGTAGGGTCCAGAGTCTAGGGATTTGCTCAGTCTTTATCTTTCTTTGTTCTCTGTGTTAGTGCTTGATCCAGGATCCCAGATTTCAGATGTAAGGTTACAGTTTCGGGTTTGCGGTTTGTGTTTTTTTCGAGTTCGGACATGCATACAAGCATACATTGATCTGCGGATATATACATATATATATATACACATGTACATAAGCTGGGAAAGGTATGCACCGCGCCATTTTTGCTTTTGCTTTTGCTTTTGACGTGTGTGTGTGTGTGTGTGTGTGCGTGCATGTGGTAGTGGAAGGTTGCCATGCCCTGCACGCTTTTGCCCAGAGGGCTGCGGCAAAAAAATCAGTTGTCTGCGTATTCAGCATGAGTATCCCCTTATGGTCCCTGCATGTTATTGTAGTATAGTATACACAGAACTCAAAACCAACAAGGAACGCGAGGCATCTGTTGGATGCCACAGTTCTCAGCATTGTGATTGGCAACCCCTTAAACCCCAAACCCTAAACTCTAAACCTTAGACCTAAATCCGCAACCTACAGCCTAATCCCCTAAAGCTTAATCCCCTAACCCCTAAACCCTAACCCCTAAACCTAAACCCTAAACCCCTAAACCCCCAAACTCCCAAACCCCTAAACCCTAAACCCCCTAAACCCCTAAATCCCGAAACTCCTAAACTCCTGAACCCCAAGCCCTAAACCCTAAACCCCTAAACCCCCAAACCCCCAGACCCCTAAACCCTAAATCCCCTAAACCCCTAAATCCCTAAACCCCTAAACTCCTAAAACCTAAGCCCTACACCCTAAACCCCTCAACTCTAAACCCCCAGACCCCTAAACCCCTAAACCCCTAAACCCCTACACTCCTAAACCCTAAACCCTCAACTCTAAACCCCTAAGCGCCCAGGTGGGCTCGAGCTGGCACAGAAGCGCCTGCAGGATGCCACTCGCCTGGCTTGGTTCAAAGGGGAAAAGGAGGGACCCTTAATGGGGACCCCTACCCTAAAATGGGGTATATACTGGGTATATACTAGCTATATTAAGGGTATATACCTAGGGGTCCTTATTAAGGGTCCCTCCTTTTCCCCTTTGGATAGGTGTTATTCATCAACTCGGGGGGTAATATGGAGGGCCTAAGTAGTTAGAAGAGGGTTCCTTTAAAGGGTTCTTACAAAGGGTCTATAAGGGTTACTGTAAGGGGCTTTAGAAGGATTTAACATAGGGGCCTAAATAAATACTGAATGTATTTCGGGGGTTTCCTTACTACACTCATAGTATAATGGGCCCCAAAACCCTATTCTAAATATTAAGGCCCCTATATTAAGACCCTTATATGAGGCTGCACAAAGCATAGGATGAGAAGTGCATCGACAAAGTTATGTTTTGGTGTGGGGTTTACGGAGCCCGAGACGTACTGATCCCTACGCAGTATTTTGCGTGGGTCTGGGGCGCCTGCGGTTAGCTCGCTGAAGCGGGGGTCTTCAGCAAACCTAGACCGAGTGTCAGCTCAGCCTGAAACCCTACCTATAGTCTCCATTGTAGTTCCTTTTTGGGGTTACCTTATAGGATTCTTCATACATAATTGGTTAAACCCAAAAAAGGAACTACAATGAAGACTATACGTAGTCCCTGCATCCTAAACAATGAACCGTTGAGGTACTTGGCACCTTAGGGGCTTTTAGGTTCGAGGGTACCGGGCGGTTCAGGCTGTGGGGGTCAGGGCTTGAAGTTCAAGCTAGATGTGGGGTTTATGGCAGCTGTAGGATTACTTAAGGCTTGGGCTATGAGGATTAAGGTTTTGGCTGTACGGCGGCAATGAACATGCTTCCCGAGGTGACCACGGATTTGGACAACTTCGACAAGCGCATGGAGGCGCACCACGATAGAAACCCACGACGCTGACCCCTAAACTCTAAGCCAAACAAAGCCCAACAAAACCACAAACCAAAACATTGCAACCCAAAACAAAGCCCAACCCCCGAAAGCCCAAAACACTCAGCCCTAAACAGCCTAAACAGCCTAAACATCCTAAACCGCAAACCCTGACAGCCCTAAACCCATCACCGCAACACAAAATGGCAAAACCTGAACCCTCAACAGGCTGGGCCGTAAAACCTCAACCTTGAATGAACCCCAGCAACTCCATCCGAATAGCCAGCAGTCGACAGCCAGGATCTTCTGCACATCGCCACGAACTTCAACTATCCGGAGGAGTTGTCGGTCATGCTCATAGTAGGTGTTCCAGGAGTGAGAATTCTAGAGGAGCATCATCGTCACAGTTGCCATTTCTTCTTAACCGGTTATCTTGACAATAACCCTTCTTCTTCTTTTTCTTTACCCTGTTGTAGAAAGCCTTGGGCAACCCTAAGCCTAAACCCTAAACCCTATCTCCAAGCCCTAACCCGCCTCATCGGCCGTTAGTCCCATAGGGGGATTTCCGAAAATAGGGGACCCCAATTTAGCACCCTATATATATATATATATATATATATATATATATATATAGTAGGATCCTTATTATAAGGACCCCCAAAGAAGGTGCCCCTAATTTTCGGAAAGTCCCCATAGAGCACATAGGTCCGAAGGATTTCTTGGGGCCTTGAGGCAAATCCGAAAAACCCTCAACTTTCAGAGGCACCCTTGCCCCGAAACCCTAAACTAGACCCTAAACCTGGACATACAAAGCCTGGCACGGCGGCAACTTCAACATCCAGAAGCCCAGGCTCTAAACCTATACCTTAAACCCTACCTTAAACTACCAAACCCTACTTTGTTGTAGGTTCTTACTATAAACCCTACCATGGAAATTATAGGGACCCGGCAAAAAAAGGTAGGTTTTGGTAGGTTAAGGTACCCATAGGCTCCATAGTAGTTCCTTTTTGGGAGAACCTTATAGGATTCTAACCCTAAACCCTAAACCCTAAACCCTAAACCCTAAACCCTAAACCCCCAACCCGGAACCCAGGAGCTCAACAACTCGAAGAAGATCATGCAGGCGATGCGCGAGGATGTAGCGAACTGCCTCCTGGCTTCGTTGAAACGGGTTTAGGGTTTAGGGCTTAGGGTTTAGGGTTGAGGGTTGAGGGTTGAGGGTTTAGGGCTTTACGCTTCCAAAGGCTGAATGACCAGTTACTTAGGACTAGGACTTTGCGGATCGTATTCGGGTTCGGGGGGTTTGAAGGATTCTTAGGTACTTGTACCCCTGGAGCCTGGTTCTTGCAGGCTTTCCATATAGGGTCGGGCTTTGGGGCTCTAGGTTGTAGTGCTTTACGGTTTAGGCGTTTTGGGTTTGGGGGATTAGGGTTTAGGGCTTTGGGCTTAGCACTTTGGTCTCAGGCGGGCTTTTGTAAGGGTGTTGCAAGGATTCTGTGTTCCTGGACGGGTACTTAAGAGTGTTTTTGGGCTGGGGTAGAGGGTGTAAAGATCTACAGACGCGAGCTATGAGGGGTTTAGCAAAAAGGGGTCTGAAGGGTTCAGGGGCTTCGTGGCGGGATCTCTTCTATTTTGCCGTCCAGTATCGGGAGTGCCGGTGCGTGGCTTGCTTGCTCGGAGGGCTATGGCTGCAGAGCGTTTCATCCGAAGACGACGAAGAAGGCGTTTCTAGATGGAGCCGATGAGGAAGCCGATCATACTGTCTTGTCATCAGCGCTTAGACCTCGTGGCCCGTAAGCGAAGGTGGATCGAAGAGCTGCCGGTTGAGGTCGGCCCAAATATGGTACCCTAAATAGTAGGATCCTAATTTTAAGGACCCAAAAATAAGGTACCCCTAATTTTCGGAAACTCCCATATCTTCATTTGGTAACGAGAAGGTTTTCAACGCTTTGGGCTTGATTAATGCCCGGCTGCTGAAACGAGGCCCTATTGAGCCGACCACAGATGCTTGGGACTTGTTGGGGTTTCGGGGGCTTATTAGGGTCTGGGTCTACTTAAAGGATCATGGGACTTAGTAACTAGGGTTATACTTAAGGTAACTGTACTTATAATCACTTATAACCCCGATTAAGGTACTTATAACCCTACTTACTAAGTCCCCTGATCCTCCAAGTAGGGCTTCTTAGCTTGGGATCCGTTTCGTCATTGGGGCTCAGAGTTCGGGGCCTGCCTCCAACTCTGGGCACTTCTCACCTGAGGCCCAGTCATCCTAAACCCTAAACCCTGAACCCTAAACCCTGAACCCTAAACCCTGAACCCTAAACCCTAAACTCTGAACCCTAAACCCCAAACCCTGAACCCTAAACCCTAAACCCTGGACCCTAAGGGTTTAGGGTTCAGGGTTTACGGTTTAGGGTTCAGGGTTTAGGGTATTTGGTTTAGGGTTTGTTACCCTACATCCCTGCGAATCTTTGAATCCTAAAATCTGAAGATGGGAAGCTGGAGCACCAGTCGAAAGTTGCTAGACCCTGCCATGTGAGGTCCTAGCCCAACCCTAAATCCCATCCCTTAGGCTCCTGGGACTTAATCACCATGAAAGTCCTGCAACACCCTTAGAAAGCCCTTGCAAAGCCCTATAACACTGTGATGGAACCCTTCTCAAGCCATTGTCTTCAAGCCTTACAACGAACCCCAGCAAACCCCCCACCTGAACCCTACTTGGAGGATCATGGGACTTAGTAAGTAAGGTTATAAGCGCCTTAATTGGGGTTATAAGTATAGTTACCCTAATTATAACCCTAGTTACTAAGTCCCATGATCCTTTAAGTAACCCCCCCCCCTCCGTTTAAACAATCCTAAAGCCAATTGAAAACCTGCACTGTTCAACCCCAGGCAAGGGCCTCTGGGAGTTCGAAGTCCAGCGCATCAAGATCACCGAGGGCTTCCTCGTGGTGCGCTGGGGCAAGGCTGGCTGTGAGGAGGGTTTAGGGAGCTTAGGGAGTTTAGGGGTTACTGCTGATGATATAGATCCTGCATTACCTTAAGGACCCTAAACTATGGGAATAATGGTATATTCCTTATTATGGGTAATGCAGGATTTATATCATCAGACGTAGGACATAGGATTTATAGGGGTTTACGGTTTGGGTTTCAGGGTTTTAGGGTTTAGGGAGCTCATGGGTTTTCGGAGTTTTGGGTTTAGGGAGTTTAGGGCTTAGGGGTTTACACTTGGGGTCTGAAGACTTGGCATTACCATCACCTACAAGTCCTTACTTAAAGGATCATGGGACTTAGTAACTAGGGCTGTAATTAAGGTAACTGTACTTATATTTACTTATAACCCCAATTAAGGTACTTATAACCCTACTTACTAAGTCCCCTGATCCTCCAAGCATATATCTCTGCCGTATGTTCCCCCGAACCCTAGTCTAATTGCTGAGGCCCCCTATGGCAAGCAAGCACGAGTGCGATAGGTTTTTTATGACCTTAAGATGTACGGGCGCGCGGCTCAAGTTTTGGGTCATGGATTGGTTTAGGGCTCCAGGTTCAGTCGAAACCCCCCAAATCCCTGAACCCCCGTTACCTCTCTGCGAACCCACCTAAACCCGTAGACCCTAAACCCTAAACCCTAAAACCCCAAACCCTAAAACCCCAAACCCCAAACCCTAACACCCTAAACCCTAAAACCCTGAGCCCGACAGCGCTTGAACTCACCGCTCTGGCGGCCAGGTCGTGGCCGGCGACATGGAGGATCCGAGATGGGTGCGTTTAGGGTTGAGGGCTTAGGGTTTAAGGGTTTAGGGTTTAGGGTTGAGGGTTTAGGGCTGAGGCATGTGGGGTTTGGGGTTTGGGGTCTTGGGTTGAGGGGTTCGGGGCTCGGGGCTCGGTGCTTTCGGTTTAAGGCTTTGGGGTCAAGGGTCAGGGCGGGTGGGTGTTTCTTAAGTTCTTTTGTTTCAGTGTTTGGGTTTGGGGATGTTGGGGTTGGGGTTAGGGGTTTAGTGGCCTAGTAGTAGAGTAGGTAGCCTTTAACCTTTTTTGGGTAGTATAGCCCCTATATCATCCCTATATGACCAAAAAGGTTAACCTTTAGTTCCCCAGGATACCCGACAAGTAGGGTGGGGTTCTGGGGTTCCGGTTCCGGAGGTGCAATTTTCGGAGTTGTTGCGTAGGATTCGGGGGTTGGCGCAAACCTTGCACCGTCTCCTAAACCCTGCGGCCTAGCCTTAAACCGGCAAAACTCTAAACCGTGAGCCCGGCACCCCTACAGCCTAAACCCAAAACCCTTATCCCTAAACCCTTAAAACAACCCTAAACCCTAAACCCTGAACCCTGAACCCTAAACCCCGAAACCCTGAACCCTTGAACCCTCATCCCTGAACCCCTAAATCCCTAGACCTTAGAGTCGGAGGCCGACGGCCCGACGGCCCGAAACCCTTATTATTATCATTATTCTCATTACTATTATTATTATTCTTATTATTACTACCATTATTCTCATTATTATTATTACGATTATTATTATTATTATTTCTACTATTATTCTCATTATTAAGGCTCCGTTCCCTTCCTATCTCACCCAAGGGGCCTTCTGGCCCTAAGTTCCTCAAGGCTCCAGAGTTCTTATTTGGTTTGTTCGCGGCTTAGGGTTCCGGGTTTCGAGTTTAGGGGTGTAGCCGGCAACGCATGCTGGGTGCCCTGAGTTTCTTGGAGATGATTTGTTTTGTAACATCCAGGCCTGAATGCTTCTTCCGGTACTGTTATCTAATTGCCTTGTGCTGTTTAAAACATAACGGCCCCCCCCAACACCGTAGTCCAACTGTTCGGGCTCGAGCCCCCCCATAGTCACCCTTAAATCCCACCAAAACAAACTTTATCCAATATTCAGAGTATGTTTCGAGTGTCATCGTGGGGGTACTGGCGTCTACCAGCTCTACTTCACTTCGCGCCAGGACGAGATCAAGGCTTTGTTCAAGAAGCCGCCATGCTGCCATAGCGTTCACAAACAGAGTATCCCACAGTAGCGCAAATGTGAAGAATGTGGAGCAGAATCGAACATCGAAAACATGGGAACTGGTTGGAATCACGGATGGAGGGTTTTCAGCTTTTGTAGATCTGATATTGGATTCGGGTTCTGGTAGATGGGCTCAGAGGACATCGGCGCACGACAGCTTAAGGAATCCTAATGTGGATTGCAAGAAGGTCTCGAGTGGTCTGAAACATCCCTCAACCTAAGCCACCCGGTTGGTGTCGAGGCAGGGCTCACTGTAAAACCCGAAAGACCTAGACAACTCGACAGAAAGCCGGGTCATATTCTGGAACCACCTGATACAACCCTGTCCGCACCCGATCCAGGTGTGAAGCCTATGCAAGATCTATAAACCTTTACAAGACCGTCTCAATCGCTGTAAGCCCACGAGAAAGCAAAGCCTGATTCACTTCTTATAACCCCCCCCCCCCCATCTCAGGCCCTGTTCAACACTGCTAAGCCCCCTACCCTAAACCCGAGCAAGCCCTCTCTGACATCTCCACACCTTAAGCCCTCAACCCTCCTTTGTGCAAGGTTGAAGGAAGTCAAGGTCGACCGCAAGTGCGACGCCTTCATGGGGGTGCAGGCACGGCCTGGGAATAAAGGCCTGCGGTTCATAGGCCTTAGAGTCCAGCCCTTCACGGTTTTGGGAAGCTGCAGCACTTGGGGTCTAGGGTTGTTGATGCAAGTCTTACGGGTTAGGTCTCAGGTTTCGTGTCGGTTTAAGGATTGAAGCTCAGGGTTTCGGGATTTTGGAGTACAGATTTAAGGCTTAGGAGTACAGACCTCGCCGAAAGGCGCCACAGGCAGCGCTTCTGTGCACGCGCATCTTGCTTTAAGGGTTACCCAAACTCTGATTGAACAGCTGTTACCACCATTTCACCAGTAGTCAAGGGACATTGGTCTTGATGGCATCTGTAAACGGTTCATGAAGCCGTATTCAACCCAGTAATTCGACCCATAAAGCCCTTACGCGACACCTGGACCCTGAATCCTGAACCCTGAACCCTAAAGCCTAAACTCTCGAGCTCTACGGCCTTATCCCTGAACCTAAAGACCCTAAACCCCAAAAAGGACGTGGTGAAGAAGTGGACCGTGTTCTGCCCTCTCGTCGGGGAGCTGCGCGACCCCGTTGCTTGGATGAAGGCACTGATGAAGACTAGGGTGTTGGGTTTTTGGGGTTTAGGGGTTTGGGATCTAGGATGTAGTTTGGGGGCATTGATGATTCGACCAGGGTTTGCGGTATGTTGCGGTCGAATTGTAGAGGGCCTTGGAGGGGGATATTGGCAGTTTAGGTTTCGGTGCCTTGGGTTAGGGTTCGGTTTTACTAGACTCACTAGACGGCATTGGGCTCTGCAGAGGTTTAGGGTTGAGGTATCAGGGAGTCGACTGCTCAAGTCAATGAATATGGCAAAGTTATCACCATTCATAACCCCAGTTGAAACATCGAAGTTCCGATAGGCTTACAGAGTCTTACTTATCTCACAGGGGAAAAGGAGGGACCCTTAATAAGGACCCCGAGGTATATACCCTTAATATAGCTATTACATACCCATTATATAGCCCATTATAGGGTAGGGGTCCCCATTAAGGGTCCCACCTTTTCCCCTTTGATTATCAAGTCCCCCGACTCACCCCCCCGTCAGAAGACGAGCTTCCCGACTTTGCTCACTTGGCTGTTGCATGCAGGTTTAGTTGTGGCGGCTAGTTGTCGGAAGCTTCCGGGTGTTGGGGTTCACGGTCGAGTACGGGGATGTAGGGTCGGGTGAAGGGTCCAGGTTTTCGGGCCAAGTTTGAGGATGTACAGTTTTTGCGGCTAAGGCTAGGGGTTCATGGCTATAGAATGCCCGTGAAGCAGGTAAGCTCCGATGGTCTAAACCCGAAACCCTAAACCCTAAACCGAGAGCATTGCAGAAAGCTCAGGCCATGCGCGCAAGACACTGGGCGCAGCTGATGGACCAGCCTCTCGTCTCTTCGACCCCTAATCTCCTTGAGCCTAAACCCTACTTAAAGGATCATGGGACCAATTAGGTACTCATAACTAATAACCCTACCCACTAAGTCCCATGATCCTCCAAGTATTCCCGAAAGACCCTAGACTCAGACCCTTATCCCTGACACCTTAACTCGGAAGCCGGGAAATCCTGGGCCTATCCTAAACTCCCTGAGCCCCAAACCCGAATCTCTATAGTTTTGAATCCTGGGGTTCCTTTAAAGGGATCTATAGGGGTACCTTCAAAACCCTAATCTCTATAGTAGGCCCTTATCCCTGAAGCCTTTATCTCGTGAACCGGGAGATCCTTCATCTACGGTTGATGATATAAATCCTGCATTACCCATAATAAGGAATATGCTATAATTCCCATAGTTTAGGGTCCTTAAGGTAATGCAGGATTTATATCACATTGAGTCGATGCCACGAAAATTCAGTGTTCGCTACTTAGAACTTAGTATTCAGGCTGCAGGATCTAGTTGGTTAGAGGTTTAGAGATCTAAGCTGCGTGGGGCTTCTAGTTTTTAAAGGCTTCCCCAGACCCCAAATACTAACCGCTCATGTCAAGAGGAACACTTTGGCTCAGGTGTGGGAAGTCCATCACCGTGACACCTGCTCGGGCCCAAGTAAAGCCCATCAGCCGGAGCCGCGAATGCTCAGTGCTGGGCCTTGCGTGACAAAAAAAACATTTGGCGGTATAGTACACAAAATACAAGTAGGGATTTTGGAGGAATATTCTTGCTAATGATTCAGACCCCGGTATTACATGCATGCCTTTCCCTTGTAGTCCTAGTCGGGCGGATCTCAGGGCCGGGTTGTGGTTGCTGTTTGCTATTGTCTTGAGCCTGTCGAAAACTACTTGCCCCAGAGATCCCGGATGCTTGCAACGTCAGGCTTGTGCCCACCAAGACCATAAGGCATCAGGGCTTCTGATTATTCTGAATCTCGGAGTGCGACTTCTTGGCTTCAAGGAGCGCGAACTACGCGAGTGCAAGTAGCGCACCGAGCAACCACACAGGATGACCGTTGTTGCATTTAGTATATATCATAAAGCCTTCAAGCGTATCCCCTACAGGGACGTAGCCGATCTCCAAACCTGAGTTGTTGCCATGATTAGTTCCTTGCTATTTCTAAAGTATGATCTCCTTTTGTGTCCTCGTTCGAAACCGCCATTCAGCCCTACCCCGAATTCCCTCCAACCTCCTAAACCCTAAAGGACATCCTCCTCCGGGATATGTGGAACTTGGAGTTGCACAAGAACCCGGACTTCGTGGAGGACACGGCGGACCAGGCGGGCAACACCGAAGGCTCTTAGGGCATATAGCTTTATGCTTCAAAATACCTCTGTATCTATATCCATATAGTCTATACCTATGTCTATGTCCATGTCTGTGTCTGAATCGAACAGTCCGACTATGAGGAGGAGTCTACGGAGTGTTGTGCAGTTTGCCGCAAACGCTTCAAGGGCTACCAGGCCTGGTCCGTTCACGCCTTTTCTACCCATGGACGCACTGATGAGATGCGGCGCCTTGCCCCCGGCACCCAATGCCCTGCGTGTCTCAAACACTTCACTTCCGCTGCCAAACTGAGCCGCCACCTTGGGTACAGCCGTGTTTGTCGCAGTCGGTTGTTGTCCACTAACGCCCGCCATACTCCCGAGCCGGGAGTTGGCAGCAGGAAGGCACCCGACGATGGAGTTGCCCTGATGCCCGTGCTTCAGGCCTCCGGGCCCCGCCAGGGCCCCATGCAGTTTGTTGTAGAGGAGGAATCAGCCAGACCCTCCGCAGAAGTCTTAGACTGCCTCCTCCACATTGACCATGATGGGGCCATCGCCACCGCTGGTGAGACTGAGCTGTGGACTCGTCTACGCGCAGCCTTCTCTTGCGTGTGCCTGCAGGCCACACGGTTACGGATCACCGCTGAGTGCTGGCAGCGCCTCACCTCGGACTCGCACCAGTCCGTCCCTGAATCCACTTTGGACATCCTACGTGAGGCCGCCAGCTGGCTTTGCCGCCATGATCTTGTTTCGTGGCTTGTACCAGAGGCTAATGACAGCCTCTCTGCCACCGACACCTTTCGACTCAGTGGACTTTACCTTGCCTCTCTCACCTACACCGGTGTCTCATGGCCCACACCCTCTGTGGTTTCCTCTGAGACGATCTGGGTCCAGGTTGGGCCGGTCCCCCTTGAACTCCTCCCCACAGTACCGGAGGACCGATGGCTCCGCTACCAGCACCGCGATGCTCTTGCTGAACGTGCTGCTGGGACTGTTGTTGACTACCTTGCATACACCGATCCTGGGTGCTGCTATTGCCTGTCGACAATAGGCCTGCCCCTTAAATCTGACCCACCAGAGGACACCATCTCCTGTGAGGCTGAGTTTCCCGGTGTAGTCCTGGCATGGGACATCATCCGTGTGTCTATTGACCACTGGACCCAAGGCATTCCTTCCAGGCTCGTCCTGTCCGATACGGCTTTTTCTGCGGCACAGCCCCTCCTCCGTTCTCCTGGACTTGTGGTGCACCAGTCCTCAGGCTGTATCGTGATCGGGAACTGGTAGAGTGCCTTCACTGTCTCACCTAATTAAGTGCATCCCACAAGGGGCCGCGTCAACTCGACTCTACGCCCGAAACAGCAGAAACAGCAGAGTCTGAATCGATATCTATATCCACATCTTTACTTTTCTGTCTCCACCCAGCTATCAAATCTATCCATCTTCGATCTGCCTATACAGATGGCTCAATGCTAGTATTCTTGGGGTTTCTCAAGGTTTGGGCCGGCTTCCTTAGTTGGATTGGACTCAGGCCACAGGATTTAAGGATCATGGTTGGAAGAAACGAACCGGCTCGAACGAGACTCCATGTTGCAGCGTGCTTGCGCAAGTATGTTATGGAAGATACATCCTCCCAAACAAGAACCCATGCATGTATGCAGGCTTTTATATGAAACAAACACCCCAATAAGAACGCAATAAGGCGCCATTAGGTCAAGACACTATTGAGTGTACGTACGCAACACCCATAAAAGCCAACTCTGATTCAAAAAGTGTCTACAGTAGAAGGTAGGATGCCAGAGATTCTGTGAAGGTTTAGGGTTTAGGGGTTAAGGGGTTTAGCGCTATGCAAAGGTTCATGGACTTGGTAACTTTACGGCGGGTTCCTCAAAGGGTTCCTTTTGCCTTACCCCTGCGGGAAAAGGTTCTAGGCTGAGAGCTTGAACGATGAAGGGAACTCTGCAAGCACACCCCTGGTAAACCCCCTATCCAAAAGCCCCGAAACCGTCTAAGCCTGCAATGCCCTGAGCCACAGGCCAGCAAGACCCAAGCCCCAGGCCTTAGGCCCTAAGGCGAGCCCGCCTTAAATGAGATCCAAATGAGGCAAAGGGCTTAAGAAGTAGGCTTTGCCTTAGCCTGAACCGTTAAGACGAAAAGCCTCAAGACACCCGGCATGAAAGAGCCCCCGACATCCTTCTGCCCTATGACGAGCTGATTCTCTAAACCTTAAATCTAAACCCAAAGCCCTAAACCCTAAGCCCTAAACCATATAGATCCCCTTAAACTTTAAAGGAACCCTTATCGATCCTCAAAGACCCCTTTAAAGGAACCCAGAGCCATAAACCCTAAATCCTCAAGGCCAAGCAAGAGATGAAGATGGAGAACACTCTGAAGAAGCTTCAGAAGGAGCTCTTTCCGGCAGTTTTGGGTTAACACATAGAGGCCTTGATAATTAGAATAGCGTTTGGGGGTATATTATATTGCAAGTATAATAAGCAACCTCCCAAAAGAGTACAGGTAATTATGAAGGCCCCTGTGGTATAAGACTTGGGGGAATCTCTGGCTTTAGGATTTCAACTGCTCTCGGGCTCCTTTTCCAAGGTTGTTGGGTGGGGGGCGGGGTTTAGGGTAGAGGGTTTAGGGTTTAGGGTTTAGGGTTCTGTTAGGTTTCAAGTATACGGTTTGTTTCAAGGGTTTAGGGTTTTGGGTGACGTGGGGGTCTGGGTTTCTGAGTTTAAGGACCTTAGAGTTTGGCGCATCTTGGCGGTTCAGGTTTCAGGGTTTTGCGGTTGGGGCTCTGTCGTGGGGATTTGTGGGTTTTGACAGAAGTGTTTGGGGTTTCGGGTTTAGGGGTGTTTGGGGTTTTGGGTTTGGAGATTTCTTGTCCTGAGCCCTAGAACCCAAGCCCCAAACCTTTAATCCCAAACCCTAAACCCGCAACCCAACATCCTAAGCTCCTGAACCCTAAAGCCTAAATCCTTAAGCCTAAGCCTGAAAAAACTCCGTATTAAATTAGGGACCCAAAAAAGACTGATAGTAATAATAGTAATAATAACAATAATGATAATAATGATATTAGGGACCCAAACCCCAAAACGGAGGAGTGGGCCGAAGTTGACTTCCAGTTTGAGAGTCACCGCGGCACGGAAGTCATGCTCATGAAGCCGCTAGGCCTTAAGGGTTTGGGGTTTAGGCATTTAGGCGTTTAGGGGTTTAGGGGTTTAGGGGTTTGGGGTTTACGGGTTTAGTCCGGGGTTTAGGGGTTTAGGGGTTTAGGGGTTTTGGGGTTTAGGGGTTTAGGGGTTTAGGGTTTAGGGTCTACGGGTTGCAGGGGTTTAGGCGTTTAGGGCTTGGGGGTGTAGGGGTTTAAGGGTTTAGGGTTTAGGGGTTTAGGTGTCAGGGGCGGGGTGTTTAGAGTTCAGGCTTAGTTTGGACGGTTTCCTTGTAACGGGAGCGAAAGGGTTCTCTGAGGCATAGGGGTCTGTGGGTAAGAATTAGACTAGGGATCCTCCGAGTAGGGTTCAGGACCCCAGACCCCAATACTGCGTGCCCTCAACGTAGAAGATCCGCACTTAACACCCATACTTGGAGGATCATGGGACTTAGTAAGTAGGGTTATAAGTACCTTGATTGGGGTTATAATTAATTATAAGTACAGTTACCTTAATTATAACCCTAGTTACTAAGTCCCATGATCCTTTAAGTAGGGCCTCGCAACCCCATGCGGACGCTGACCCTCGACGTTCTTCCCGCTTCCCCCTTCGGGGAGCCAGGAGTTCAGATGGTAGTTCCCTCCCTGCATCAAACCCCTCGAGCCTTAACCGCAACACCCGAATATACGGCAGTTTCCCAAAATAGGGAACCCTAATATAGTACCCTAAATAGTAGGATCCTTATTATAAGGATCCCAAAATGAGGTACCCCAAATTTTCGGAATCTCCCAAGCCTTGAACCCGAAACCTTAAGCCCGGAAACTTTCCCCCTTAACTTATTAATTGAGGCCCTCAACTCTACCAAATCAAACCCTAACCTAACGCCCTGAATCTCAACTTAAACCCACAACCCCAAACGCAAACTTAAGCCCTAAACCCTAAATCAAAACTATTATAGGGGCTTGAATAATTACCTATACAACTTTTGGGTTTCTTATTATATGTAATATACCCCAAAGCCGCATTCTAGTTATTAAGGCCCCTATATTCGATCAAACCGCTGAGCTCTTTGCATTCCGAGGCTGGCAGATGACAAGTTCGAGATGCTCGAGGAGCATCAAGTGCAAGTGCAGAACATGTGCCGTGGATGCATATTCTGGGTTTAGAGTTTAGGATTCAGGGTTTAAGGATTTTTCAGGGCTCCAAAAAAGTCCTACATGATCAGAACCTCGGTTTCGGGGTTCAAGGGTTTAGGATTTGATATTGTTGTGGAGCCTCAAAGCCTAAGTCACTGTTTCTGTTGGTTTGGGAGTTGGTGGTTGCATGGCCTAAAACCCTGAACCTTGACTACTATTTGCTTAAGAACCCCCAAAAAATAAAATATATATTCCTTATAAAAAAAATATAAGAATTATTACTTTATATTTTTTGGGGGTTCTTAAGCAAATAATAGTTGGAGCCCAGGAATCCTAAGCGCCTTAAACCTAAGCCATAAACCCCCCACCAACGAAGTCTACGCCCTAAGCCGTACTCTGCGCACTCTGCATGGGAGTTTCCGAAAACAAGGGACCCTAATGTAATACACTCAATGGTAGGATCCTTATTACAAGGACCCCGAAACAAGGTACCCCAAATCTTCGGAAACTCCCAAATCGCCTTGGCAGTTCAGATCGCAGGCTGTTTTTGGAAGCTGCGGTTCATCTTGAGACATCAGTTGACAACCGTGATTGGCTATGTTACTTGCCGGTTTAGGGTTCAGGGTTTCGAACCCGAAACCCTGAACCTTAAACCCTAAACCCTCTGAAACCCCTAACCCCAGAGTTTAAGGTGTAGCGTTTCGAACCCGAAGCCTTAAACCTTAAATCCCTAAGCCGTCAACCTGAAGCCCCCCCCCTCAGTGCTTAAACCCTAAGCCCTGAACCCTAAACTTTCACAAAGGCCCCAACAACCTGTCTCATCCTGGTAAGGAATTCTAGCTGCTAGCTGCTAGCTGTTCGGCAGTCGGACAAAGAACCCTGAACCTTAAGCCCTGAGCCTAAAGCCTTCAACCCTAAACCCTAAACCTTAAACCCTAAAGCCTTCAACCCTAAACCTTACCTTAACCTTGAATAACCTACCCTTTTAGGGTTCCTGATTATGACTTGTTTATATAAGATTATAAGTCCTTAAAAAGGTAGGTTCTTCGGGGTTTAAGGTAAGCCCTAAGGCTTCGACTCTCAACCCGCTGAAACCCCGAACGGCTGACTTACCTTTGGTTAGTAGGGAATGGAGGAATGGGGTACAGTTATAACTACTATTACTACCATTCTTCCATTCCCTACTACCCTAAACCCTAAACCCCAAACCCTAAACCCTAAACCCTCAACCCTCAACCCTAAATCTAATCCCTAATCCCTAAACCCTCAACCATAAGCCCTAAACCCTCAACCCTAAACCCTAACCCCTAATCCCTAAACCCTCAACCCTAAACCCTAACCCCTAATCCCTAAGCCCTCAACCATAAGCCCTCAGGTTTGCCTCTCGGTTCCTCTCGACCTTCGAGACAGAGGCTTCCCAGACGAGTGGGAGAGCAGCTTTTGCTAGTGGGGGGTAGGGTTTAGGGTTTAGGGTTTAAAGTTTAAGGTGTAGGGTTTAGGGTTTAAGGTTTAGGGTTTAGGGTTTAAGGTTTAGGGTTTAGTTTTTTGGGGGTGTAGATTTTCGATATTGGGGTCTTGGGTGTACGGTTGAAGTTTTGAATGTTGCGGTTTAAAGCTTATGGTTCAGTGTTTAATATTGCTTGCAATACAGGGGTTTCGGGTTTAGTGTTTAGGTTCGTCTTTTGAGGGTTGAGGGTTTGAAAATTGGGGACGTTTTGACAAGTAAATTGTCCGAAAATCTGATTAGACGAGTATGGCCCCCACGAAGAAGCTTCAGGTGGGCACCCATAACAAGAGATGCAGAAATGGCTCGACTCAGCCAAAGGATTTCAACCTATTGAATGCTAGATGCCTTCTGGAGTCGAGGTGGTCTCGTGGCAGAAGACTCTGGCGACCCTTGGCGTAGTTTTGGATTTAGGGGCTTGGGAGGCTTCTGTGGTGGACCTGCATGTCTGTAACACTGTAGCTTCAGTGCTGAAATTTAATGACATAAATCCTGCAGAACCCATAATAAGGAATATACCATAATTCCCATAGTTTAGGTTCATTAAGGTAACGCAGGGTTTATATCATCAGCCCTAAACCCTAAAACCCTATAATAGATCCCTTAAAGGGTACCCTTCTTGATCCGTTTAAAGGAACCCCAGGATTTGTATCATCAACCGTGACACTAGGCCTTGGGGTTTTTGGGGTTTGGGGTTTGAGCACGGGCTTTGGCATTGAAAGCTCCCGAAGTTCAGGGTCGTGGCCCTACAGTCAAAGGGGAAAAGGAGGGACCCTTAATGGGGACCCCTACCCGATAATGGGCCATATAATGGGGGTATATAAGAGCTATATTAAGGCCACAGCCCCTCTCGCTAACACTACTTACTGCAGGCTTCTCCACGACACGAGCATACAGCATACAGTGTATCCTTCATAAACCCCCTAGAGACCCTAAACCCTAAACCCCTACACCCCTAAACCCCTAAACCCCCCCATAGACCCCGGCCCCGCTAGATTCCTCACGACCCCTCGCCAAGCATCGCCTAACCATTGATATTGGGGGAGCTAAGGTGATAATTCCTCTTAAATAAGGAGCTAAAGAGCCAAGGGAACCCCCGAAACCACTGGTTAGTCGCCCAGGAACATTGCGGAGGTCTCGCAGCTGCTGTCCGAAGTGCAGCGATCGTGGGCCTCTTTGTCGTGCCTTTACGGTTTGGGGTTTAGGCTTTAGGGTTTAGGGTTTGGGGTTTAGGGTTTAGGGTTTGGGGTTTAGGCTTTAGGGTTTAGGGTTTAGGCTTTAGGCTTTAGGGTTGTTTCGAGTAAAGAACTGCAGCAGCAACATCAAACTGGAAAAGCAGCAGCAGAAGCAGCAGACAGCACTGACACTATGGCCACTATCAGAACAGCTAACTAGAGCACTGTTAGTTTGCTGATTGTCGTTTTTTTCGCCTGTTTCGTCCGCCGTCGCTATCTGAGCCTGTAAGTAGTCGTCCCCAGCATCCGACCTCTTGAAAGAGCAAGAGTCGATTGCTTTCCGCGCAAGCCCAAATCCCCAAGCCTTAAGATTATAGGATCCTTAAGGGGGGGTGGTTCAAGGGGGGAGGGTACTAGGGAGCTTTGGGGAACCTTAGGGAAGCTTAGGGAGTATTGGGGAATAATGGGGATTACTAGGTTACCTACCCCCCTTGGACCACCCCCCTTAAGGACATCCTAATAAGACCCAAACCTCAAACCCGAAACGTTGACTCCCCAGACCCCAAACCCAAGGCCCGAAACCCTTAAGCCCCTAAGCGCCCCTAAACCCTTGGCTCAACCCACGATACCTCCTGGCCAAGGTCTTCCTGGAGAATTTGTTCATCTTCAGTGATGAGGTGAAGAAAGAGCTGCCGGAGGAGCTTTCAGGTTTGATTTCTTAAGGGTTTTAGGGCTTCAGGGCTTTACCAGGGCTTTTATCTGTTCGCCATCGGAGGCCAAACGAGGTTTATCAACTTTTGTTTTGGCAACGACGGTTTCCCGTCGAACAGATTAAATTCAAAGCTCCCACCTCAACAAACAGCTGCCAGAAGAGGCATCGTGCTGTTGGTATTACAAGGGCTTAGGCTCAGGGTTGAAGGCGTTTCGAAGGTATCAGGCTTGGTTCAAGCATGAGGTGGGTGGTTGTCAAAATTAGGGTCGCTTTTTGGGTACCCTAAATACTAAGTGCCGTATTATAGTAAGGACCCACAATGGGACCCTAATTTTGACAACCACCCAGGTGTAGAATCGTTGAGGAGTGTAGGTCTTCACGGTTTCTGATCGGGCTCGGGGCTTCAGGGTAGGGTTCAGGGTTCAGGGTTTAGGGTGCTGTTCGCGTTCGGGGCTTTCGGGTATAGGTGAGGAGTTAGGCAGGGATTCAAGGGCCTGGGTCCTTCGCGTTTAGGTTCCATGCTTGGAGGATCAGGGGGTTATAAGTACCTTAATTGGGGTTATAAGTAATTATAATAAGTACAGCTACCTTAAATATAACCCTGTTACTACGTCCCATGATCCTTTAATTAAGTGAAGGGTAGCACCCCAAACGTAAATTTGCAGCAACAGACACGAGCGGCAGAGACAACAATTCGGTTCACAACAACAGCGAGATCAGGACAAATTAAGCGGTAATCGCATCATAATCAAGCCGGAACCCGTACCAGAACTTGTAGCAGCCCCGGAAGTGCTCAAAAGAAGCACTGCGACAGGTTGCAGGTAGTGGTGGAGCCTTCTGCGGCAGTGGCGGCTGTAGTGTAGTGGTAGTGGTCGGGGTGGGGGTGGTGCTGGTGGTAGTAGCAGGTCTTCGTGGTTCCGAAAAGCCAAACACCCAAAGCTCTAAACCCTAGATCCTAAACCCTAAACCCTAAACGTGCTAGGAGAGCGACAAGTTCGTCGGCATCGATATGGACGTCAAGGAGATCCTGATGAACGGATTCCAGGTGGGTGGCTGCTGCAGGGCTCTCATATTTGAGGTTTTGTGCCTTTCGTCCAAGGGTAAAAGGAGGGACCCTTAAGAAGGACCCCTAGGTATATACCCTTTCTATAGCTTGTATGTACCCATTATACAGCCCATTATAGGGTAGGGGTCCCCATTAAGGGTCCCTCCTTTTCCCCTTTGATTCAGACTTTTAGGGAGTTGTCGGGCTCAGGGTTCTCGAGGTTTCCCGTTGTCCAGTCGGTTTTGAGCGACTTGGGGTGGATGTAAAGCTGTGGGGCGTTCAGCGACCCCCCAAACCGCTACAGTGTCTTTCGTCGGCGCTTCTTTTAAGGCAATCAAGGGGTCTGAAGAATTAGTCGCACCATTCAGAGAATATGCGACAATACACACCAACAAGCTTATTCTGTATTCTGACGAATCAAAGCCCTGAAGCAGCCCAGTCCTACTGGGGGAAGAGGTCACCCTTCAATCCGCATTGTAGTTACCCATCCTAACTATCTATATACTGAGTTCCGAAGCAACGGTCGTAAACACAACCGCCGTAAACCCGCAAGCCATAATCCAGTGTTCGGTAAACCCTGGCTTCAACTCTTACACATGCTATAAGCCCTGATGCCCGAAAGGAAACCACCCTACTTTACCCAAAACCCTAAACCCCTAAACCCCTAAACCCTAAATCCTAAACCCTGAATACTTTGGTGCAGGTCAAAGCCACAAAGGACTTCTGCAATCAAGGCTCGGTCGCTGTTGCTGCTGTTATCGTGGTTGGTTCTGCTAATGCTGCTGACGTCTCGAGGGGGGTGCTTCCCACTTAGTATGGAAGCCTAAACAGCTGTTACCAATATCATTCTTAGGGTTTCTTTCTATATCATGAAGGAGCCCGACGCCCTATGCTTTTCATTTATTAGGGCGCCCACATTACGCTCTTTACCCCGAGCCTTCAGCCGAATCCATGGTGCACGAATTGTGTCGGAACCATCCCAGGGTTTGGAAAGAGTATCAATCCCCAGACCCCCGGAAGGATCTAGAAAGTAGATCCCCTAATTTGGGGCCCTAAACAACTAAGGGTAGTTTATAGGAACCCCCATTAAGGGATCTACTTTTTGGATCCTCCCGGGGGTCTGGGTCTACATGTGGGCATCTCTTGTGCTCGACAGTCTGAATCCTGAACCCTATACACGGTTCAGGGTTTAGGGTTTAAGGTTTAGGGTTTAGGGTTTAGTAAGGGATTAAGGTTTAGGGTTTAGGGTTTAGGTTTAAGGTTTGGGGTTTGGGGTTTAGGTGCTCTTCCAATAACCCAGATCAGGTATTGGCTCTTTTGACCTCCTGACTGGCCCCAAAACCACTCCGAAACTCAAGCATCTGAGGCGGTCGTTCCTCTTGGCCCGCGTAGCCTTTGTTGGTGGCAAGATCTTGATATATAGCCCACATAGGAATGTTACAATATGCAACCCAAAACTTTCTTCTGATTCTGGAGGCACCTACCCCAAACCCTAAACCCGCAAACCCTAAACCCCAAAACGTTATTCTGTATCTGAAGGCATGTAAATCATGCCTTACAAGCTCCTGCTCAACCCCAAAACCCTATGCCCTAAACCCAAAACCTCGGAACCCCGGAACCCCACAGGAAACATCTTCCAGAAGCTGGAGAAGGTGCAGGGTGCTCTGGAGATGTGCCAGAAGGCACTGAACGAGTTCATGGCCCTTTGGCACAAGCCTCACCTTTGGTTAGTAGGGAATGGAAGAACGGTAGTATATAATAGTAGTTAAAATTGTACCCCATTCCTCCATTCCCTACTAACCAAAGGTAAGAAGCAGAAAGGGTTCTACAAGGGTTTTTGGTTCGGGTATTTGTGCGGGCTTGGGGTTTAGGGTTTAGAGTTTTTCTATAGGGTTTTGCTTCAGGTTTAGCCCTTTAGGGTATGAGGCGTGGGCAGTTTCAGGCCGTCGAGATTTACAGTTTGACGTCTAAGCAACTTGTGGTTTGAGTTTAGGAGTTGACCATGGGCACTTCTACGGCGTAGCGTTTTGAGCTTAGGAAGGTGGAAGGTTTGCAAGCCAGCATGGGATTCAGTTGTCAAGAAAGTGTCTTCCAATTCTTCTGCACGTCATCACGAATAAACATAAGCGTAGCTGAGTTGATACACTTTCCACGTTTTGGCATAATATTACCCACAAGACTGAACGTGTACACTTTTGGGGCCTATGAACTTAGCAACTAGGTAAGATAGACCTACCCTGCAGCCCCTGTGCGACTAGCCTTGAAGACTTAGGGTTCAGCGTAAAATGGGGGTTTCCGAAAATAGGGTACCTCATTTTGGGGTCCTCATAATGAGGATCCTACTATTTAGGGTAGTATAGTAGGGTCCTCTATTGTCAGAAACTCCCATATAGAGGTCGGAATGATTAGCAATGGAACCCCCATGTAGTCCCTGTCTTTTTTCCATAATCGTGTAAGACCCTACTTTACTTATTCAGGCCTCCACGGAATAAACCGTGAGGATACTTATTATAAGAACCCCAAAATGGGGTACCCCTAATTTTCGGAAACTCCCAGCATGCGCCATTCTAGTGTTTCGGGCCGGAGATTGCGGTCGTGGCCTTCGGTTTCCAGGTTTTACAAAGTCGAGCTTCGGATTTCGAACATGGGGTACTCGGTAGCTCTTTGGGATAGTTAGCATATTTCCTCTTGCTAGGCTGAAGGCGATCTTAATTACGAATGTTTTGAGAAGCTGTAAAGGGCCAACCTAAGGTATTGTGCTGCTCCAGTGTTCGGAGGTTTAGAGTTCATGGGTTTAGGATTTTCGAGGTTTGGGGTCTCTGGGTTACCGTTGCATTTTCGCGCTTGAGTCTTAAACCAAGCACCAAGCGTTCAACCCAGCGACCAACCCTAAGACCCTGAACCCCAAGCCCGAAACTCTATGTAAACCCTGATAAGAACGGCCTACACCCTAAACCCTAAACCCCAAGCCCTAAACCCTGAACCCTAAACTCTAAACCCTAAACTCCTAAACCCTAACACCTAAACCTTAAACCCTAAAAAAGGACAGCAAGAAGCGGGCCTTCCCTCGCTTCTACTTCATGTCCTCCAACGATCTGCTAGATGTGCTGAGCAACGGCCCCTCGGTGAGCTGTAAGGCTCTTGGTTTGGAGGTTAAGGGCTTTAGGGTTTCGAGGTTGAGGGTTTGGGGTTTCGAGGTTAAGGGGTTTAGGGTTTCGAGGTTAAGGGGTTTAGGGTTTAGGGTCCAAGCACATAGCCAGGGCTTAGTGGTTTAAGGGGTTTAAGGGGTTTAGGGTTTAGGGCTTAGGGATGTTAGAGTTTGGGGATGGTAGGGGCTGAGGGTCTGGAGTTTGGGGTTTAAGGTTCTCCTACCTGGGCTTTGGAGTACCATGCTTTAATGCTTTTTTCTTAAAGGAACCCTTATGAAATACAAGTTTATACTTCTTTCTCCCTGGTTACTTAAAAGCCCAGCTACGAGGTGTTTTGAATTATATTCATGGGGTTCTGTGAGGGCTTTAGAAGAAGGGTTACTGTAAAGCCCCGACAAAACGTCACCATAAAAGATTTGCGAGCATCCGTGGCCATCCAGATCTCAAGCCCCAAAGCCCTCGACTGGTGAGCCCGAAAATCTATCATCTAAACCGAAAGCCCTATGCCTATACCTTAGAAGGGGCCCCCACCCTGTAACAGTGGTACAGTAGGAATATAATAGGGCCCTCATATAATCCTCATAGTCACTATTCCATTGTGGGGGCCGCTTCTAACCTAATCCGTACAGTACCATAATCTCTTCTAAACACTCAGCCCGTTGATCCGGAACGCGCCAAGCCTTTGTGAACCCTACACCCTAACCGTTCTGAACACGCTCCCCCCAAAGAACCTGTGGCACCAAGGTAACCAGCCGGCCAAGGCCTTTTGGGAAGCGGAGAAAAAGGGGGGGGGGCTTGGACAGTTTAGGGTTTAGGGCTGAGCTCGTTGGGTAGTGTTGAGGGTTATCTAGCGAATGGCCTGAAGGGTTTAGGCTATAAGACTGTGGGCTTGGGTTTAGGGCTTGATGATCCGATGGGTTTGGAGTTTGAGGTTGATCCTGCATACGTTGTTTCAGAGTTAGGGGTTGGAGAGTTTGGGAGCCTCTCCCGAACGAGTTTTGGAGAGGCTAGTTTTCACTTGGCATCTTATGTGGATTGCACAGCTGTGTAAGCTATGTACTGTAGGCCCTACCTGTATCCGGAAACACGAGATTTGTAACCTAAACCCTGCACCCGGATACTGTTGCGAGGACGACTTTCGAGGATCCCTGAGATAGCTCGCATACATCTTCAGGATGTCTTCAACCCAGGGGCACCTCAACACTGAACTGCCAACTCCTAAGGTCTCGCACCGTGAAGCCCTGAAGCCATATATATCGAACTGCTCGGGCCCCTTGTGAAGCCTTCCAGAGCCTTGCAGAACTCCTCGAAGCATAGGGTTTAGGGTTTAGGGTTTAGGGTTTTGGGCTTGGGGTTTAGGATTAGGGTTTTAGGATTAGGGTTTAGGGTTTAGGGTTTAGGGTATAGGGTTTTGGGCTTGGGGTTTAGGGTTTAGGGTTTTGGGTTGGAGGATCGTTAAGTAGGGGATGCTGGAGTCATCTGCATCAGGTGATCCCACAGTCGCTTTGCTGCAGCCCGCGGTTACAGGTTCAAAGTTCACCGAAGACATCATCAGGGCAAGGCTCTATATGAGTTTCGAAAAAAAATTCATTGGATTTCGGATACGAAGTTGACGGTTTGAGGTTCGGGTGTAGGGTTTCGGATTTGCTATACAATGCTAAACTATACTATACGGTACTATACTTTACTATACTATCCTACACTGTCCTGGGGTTTCGGATTTCGGTTTTCGGGTCCCTAAACCCTAAACCCTAACGGATTTCGGGTTCCTTGGGGTGTCGCAGGGAGAAGTGGCCACGGTTTGACTGAAGTTTGCTCTGGCGGGACCTTAACTCCCCAAGCCGTCCTGCATCATACACGGTTTAGGGTTTAGGGTTTAGGGTTTAGGATTTAGGGTTTAGGGTTTAGGGTTTGGGGTTTAGGGTTTAGGGTTTAGGGATACATTAGGTACGGCCCCCACTCAGTAGTAGTTGAATAATACTCATAATATAGATATAGTAGGACCTTAATCGTAGCCCTATTGGAGACTCTTGCTGTACCTAAAGCATACATCTGTGTGTCAACCTTGGAGGCCAAAAGTTTGGAGGTCTGGGGTTTAGGGTTTAATCCTGCCCTTTAAACACAGAACTCCACGCCTCAATCTCGTAGCTTAAGTGTCGGCGCTGTAACTGCTAGAACAAGGTTTCGAGGTGTACTTTTCCGTTTCAGCCCTCCCCACCCCCCCTCATTATCCGCTGATGCCTCAGGTTCCCCAAGTTCTTCATCGCCATCGACAGCTACACACTGGAGTTTCCGGACGGAGAGGAGCTCATGACAGCTTAGTGCTCCGTAGCAGGCTCTAGGCCTATAAGAACCACTTCAAGTCAGGGCCGGAACTCGCTCCAAAGCGCGGCCTGGGACTCAAGACTGGCTTGTAGAACGCCCGAAAATGCGCGCAAAGTCCATGCAAAATCTTTTAGGCCATAGTGCGGCCAAACTATGTACTACAAGGCTACTTGGGCCGTTGAGGCTACGGCGACGGCATCGGTGAAGAAGACGAACACGACTGGCAGTGCTGGTGCTTATGATGCTGGTGATGATAGGTTCGGTGGAAACGGTGATGCAGGAATTGATGGTCTTAGAGACGATGGTGATGATTGCGAGGAAGCAGCAAGGTCAAGCACAGCTCGTTGCCGGAAGGCGGTCCCCTTATGCTCGGAAAGCCGTCGTTTCTTCCGTGATCCCATACTGGTCTATTTCGGGGGAACAATCTGGATTCTGCAGCCGCTGCGGACAAATCTCCATCAACCCAAGACGTTTGGCCCCAAACCCCGGACACCTGCAGCCCTCAAACACGAGCGGTCGTGCCTTACCTTCAAGCCCTAGGTCGATTTGGTTCCATGCTGGTGATTCTTAGATCCCCAATACCTAACTTTTAAACTTTTCGGGCTCTTATAGTTTAGTAGGAATCAGAAAGTCTAACCTTTCATTTCTGTGGCTTCTTGGGGTAGTAAGACCCTAAACCCTAAACCCTATTAGTTAGACAGGAATCCTGGGCATCAATCATGGAGTCTCCTGTTCGCAGGACAACCGGCCGCACGCCGTTGGCATGAGCGCTTGCGTCGGCAAGGAGAGCATGTGTCGATATGGGAGTTTCCGGAAATAGGGGACCCTAATATAGTACCCTAAATAGTAGGATCCTTATTATAAGGACCCCAAAATACGGTACCCCCCTCCCATATGGGAAAACCTCCAGGTTTGGAGTGGGGTTTCGGCTTTCAGGGTTTAGGGTATAGGGGATTATGCGCTGTGACGGCCTGGCTCATGTGGTTTTGGGTTTTGAGTCACAGGGTTTAGGCTGTAGCCGCAGCGTTCGCAGACTTCGTGACTGGACAGCTGTTGTTGAGATATGATAGCCATAGAATACAGCCATAGAGTACAGAGGTAAGAATCTTTGGTAAAATTCGGGCTCTGTACGTAGTGGTTCCTGTTTATACTCATAGTATAATGCGCCCCAAAACTCTAGGCCCCCCTAGATTATAGAACCTGATTATAGATCTTTTACAGAACCCTTATAGAACCCCCTTAAAGGAGCCCTATTCTAACTCCTAAGGCCCTCAATTGGAGGCCCCGCTCATCTCAATTCCCGGGTCCGCCAAAGTCGGGTTAAGGGCTGGATATCAGTGCAGCAGTCAGGATTTTCAGGGTTCTGCGATCTGGGGTTTAGGGGTTTCAGGGGTTTGGGGGTTTGGGGGTTCGGGGGTTCAGGGTTTTAGGGGTTTAGGGTTTAGGGTTTACAACATGGAGAGTTTAGGATTGCAGTCATTAGTATCCGCATGATGGCGTAGAGTTAGTAGCGACTCCTGGCATGTCGGCTCGATGGCAGGTTTGAGCTTTTGCGCGTTTTCACTACAAGTAGAAGTTAGCAATGTGCCAAACCCCAAGACCCCTAGACCCCGAAACCCCTAAACCCCTAAAACCCTAAACCCTTAAATCCCTAAACCCCAAACCCCCAAACAGTTCTAAACCCTGAAACCCCTAAACCCTAAACCTTGAAATCTCCCAATACCTCGGAAATGCACCCAGGCCACAACTTAGCCGTAACACTTCACCATCTCCGCCCCCCAATACGACAATCCCGAACCCCCACACCGTGTAGGGTTTAGGGTTTGGGGTTTAGGGTTTGGGGTTCAGGGTTTATGGGTTCAGGGCGCGAAAGTCTTATTTCAAGCCACAAAAGATAAATCTCCATCAGCTTTTGGACAGCATCTGTTTACCGTCGGTGCCTCAATAAACAGAAGTTTTCAACTGATAATTAGATGTGTCTATGTGTGTATCTATATTCACATGTACAGCCATACAGCTAAATATATGTGTATATATTTACACTTTTTTCAAAAAGGCATACATATGGTTAGAAGCCATAAATTAGATACGACCCTTGTCCTGGTGTCTGAGTCAAGAACCCGTGGTCCTTTGTGGGTGTTTGTTTGATCCCACCGCAACGGCAAAGGCGCACGGTTTAGGGTTTAGGGTTTAGGATTAATTATGCCTGCATCGCAAACAGGAGTACGTTCCGTTCCCGGAGCCGCTGCCACTGCTCGGCAAGGCCTCTTGCAGCGTCGCGTGAAGGGTACAGACGGGCAACAGGCAACCTTAAACCGTAAAGCCTGAGACATAAAGCCCCAAACTGGCCCTAAACACTGCATCCGTATGATCCTCAAACCTTGACCTTTAAATCAACCCCAAACGCGGCTTTGCTGAGCAATCTGGGGAAGCTGGAACTGTCTGCAGGTTGAGTCCTACCTGGACAAGTGCATTGAGTGGTTCCTCGGCTGTGTGCTACGGGATATTATAGGGTCGGGCGAATTAGTACTAGACCCCCCTTACATCCCCAACGTAATTATACTAGAGTGGACCCCTGTGTTGCGGGTTTGGGTTTGTATTGTTGAGGGGTTATGAAGGTTCAGAGTTTACGGCATCGGCTTTGTGCCAATAGTCGGAGCTTTCGTGTTATTGTTGCTGTGATGTCTGCTTCGTGGCAGTTCTCGTCGCGGCTGTTCCGATTGACTGTGGTGGTTGGCCATTCTGCATGATGGTGGTGGTCCTTTTGGCTTCTGGCTTATGGCTTGCTGTACCGATTCTGATCTCCCTCGACGACAAGAGCCCCTTAAATCTTGTGAAACCTCCTCCAACGCCCGAAACCCGAAACCCGAGGCCCCAGGACAGTGTAGGATAGTATAGTAAAGTATAGTACCGTAGAGTATAGTTTAGCATTGTATAGTATAACATAGTATAGTAAAGTCTAGTATCCTATGGTATAGTAAAGTATAGTATAGTACAGAATGTATCGTATGGTATCGTATAGTATCGTATAGTGTCGTGTAGTATCGTATAGTATCGTATAGTATCGTATATTATCGTGCAGTATAACATAGTATCGTATAGTATAGTACAGCATCGCATAGTATGGTATGGTATGGTATGGTGTAGTATAGTATGGTATGGTATAGCATGGTATAGTATGGTATAGTATGTTATAGTATGGTATAGTATGGTATACAGTATAGTATGGTGTAGTATAGTATGGTGTAGTACAGTATGGCATTGTACAGTATGGTATAGTATAGTACGGTATAGTACAGTATAGCATACAATAGTATAGTTTTAGGGGTTAAGGTTTCGGGGTTTAGAGTAGTGTGCTGTTGGGTGGGAGGATTTTGGGTCTTGTGGCTTGCGGATTCAGGGTTTATGGCTTCACACCGGCTTACACCCTAAGCTCTATAAGCCCTAAATCCTGCGCCTTCAGCCCTAAATCCACATAAGATCCTTTCCCAAAAACCGTTGCCTCCCTCAAAGTACTAGCTCGCATTTTCAATGCCGTATACAAACCCTGTACCTACACCCTGGACCCTCTGAGTAAACCCTAAACCCTAAATTCCCACCCGGCGTCAAAGGCTCCGCCTCGCCGCCGGCCAGCCACAGCTGGGCCTAAAATCCATTAACGCGCAAACCCCTGGGCCCCTTAAAACCCCTAAACCCTTACAGGAGATGGTTCGGGTGGTTGCCTGTGCTATCATCACAGCGGGCGGAACTTCCGGTTTCACCGAGTTCTGTGATACATGCAAGGGAGGTGGCCTTACGCGTAATATGCCGCCAACCAGAAGCCCCGGTGTGAGGTGGCGCTATGCTAGCATGGATTACGAGCCACTGCGCAAGAAGACACCCTAAACCCTATAAACCTTAAGCCCTACAAACCCTATAAACCCCATAAGCCCTATAAACCCTATAAGCCCTATAAACCCTAAACCCTATAAGCCCTATAAACCCTAAAACCCTATAAGCCCTCAACCCTAAATTCAAGAAGCCGAGGTTCCAGAAAGCCTTGAAGTTCTTCGCCAAGCAGGACAAGGAGAAGTACTTCACTGAGGGCTGCAACTCAGAAGCAGTCAGGGTTTAGGGTTTAGGGTTTAGGGTGTAGCGCTTGGCGGTGTAGCTTGGTTTACGTTACCATAGCCGGGATACCCAGTAGACCCCGTGAAGTCTTTACTGACGGTAAATTCAATCAGAAAGTTCCCTATCAACAGCTGTTGCAACACCCTTCCGAACCCCCCCATAGAACCCTATCAGCCTCCTGGTAAAGCCACATAAAACATAGAGAGTTGAGTTTTGGAGCCCTGTACAGCCTCCCCAAATCCTCAAACACCACACAAAACCCTAAGCCCTGAACCCTGGTTCCCCTAAACCCTAAACCCTAAACCCTAGACCCTAAAACCCTAAACCCTAAAACCCTAAACCAGGTATGGAGGACGGCACGAAGCGAGGTGAGTTCATTGCCAAGAGTCAGGCCGCACAGTGCGCTCTGCTGGTACAGCGCCTTGGTCCTCTCTATCTAGGGATTTGAATAGGGTTATTCCAGGGCTTCCAACCCTAAACCCCAAGCCTACAGGGTCAGGGTTTTCGGGATTTAGGCTGCGGGTTTTGGGTTTATATGTTGTAAAGTTATCGGAAGGACCCTAGACCAGCTACCATCAGGCTCTGTAAAGATTGTTCTGTAAGGCTCAGGGTCATCTTTCTGGGGATATTTACGGATGCTTTTTTGGCTTTAGGGTTTATAGGTTTAGGGTTTAGAGTGCTTTTGGGATTGAGAAAGCTTTCGTGTGCTTTGGTCGTGTCTTGTGTGCAGTCCTCAGTCCTTGCCCACTAACCGCAAGCCTCAAAGCACCGCGCGCCCAAACTCGGAGTTTGGGCTCGCGATGCTTTGAGGCTTGCGGGAGTAGATTGTGTGGATCCAACAAGACCTAGGTTTAGGGTTCAGGGTTTGGGGTTTCCCTAAACCCTAAACCCTAAACCTTAAACCCTAAACCCTAAACCCTAAACCTTAAACCCTAAACCCTAAACCCTAAACCCTAAACCCTAAACCTTAAACCCTAAACCCTAAACCCTAAACCTTAAACCCTAAACCCTAAACCCTAAACCCTAAACCCTAAACCCTAAACCCTAAACCCTAAACCTTAAACCCTAAACCCTAAACCCTAAACCCTAAACCTTAAACCCTAAACCCTAAACCCGGCCTGAGGCCGGGTTTGGGAACTGGACTCAGCACCCTCTAAGCCCCATCTCGAAACACACCAAGCGTTCCGGCCTTAAGCTCGACACCCCAAACCCGAACCCTCAAACCCCCAAACCGTGAAACCTAAGCCCTAAACCCTACGAGCTCTAAACCCAAGACCCCAAACCCTGAAAACCCTAAACTCTATAAACCCCAACCCCCAAACCCTAAAGCCTAAACCCTAAACCCCTCGAAGCCATGAGAACTGCAGACCTCCCCGACTCAATCATCCACAAACCACAAGCCGCCATTGCCTAACCCCACCCCAATACCTAACCTTTAAGATTTAGGGAGTTCAGGGTTCAGGGAGTTTAGGGTTCAGGGAGTTAAGGGTTCAGGGAGTTTAGGGTTTAGGGAGTTTAAGGTTTAGGGAGTTTAGCTTAGATCCCCAATACAGAACTTTTCGGGGTCTTATAGTTTAGTAGGAATCAGAAAGTTTAACCTTGCATTTCTGTGGCTTATTGGGGTAGTAAGGTCCACAGGACCAAATAGGAGGGTACTTTCGTTTGAGATTGTCGTTTTGTAGGTTAGTAGATGGGGGAGTATATGATTGTCGGGTACTTGGACCCTCAGGGCAAGATCCCTGATCTTCGATGCATCGGGTTTATCCTAAACCCGAAATCCTGACTCTCTGACCCCTGACCCCTAATCCCTTAAACCCAAAGCCCTAAACCCTAAACCCTAACCCCCCGACCCTAAACCTACCGCCCAAACCCCAGCCCCTGAACCCTAACCCCTACCTTAAACTACCAAACCCTACTTTTTTGTAGGTTCTTATTTATAAGCCCCAATATAGATTTTTTAGGGACCCTGCAAAAAAGTAGGTTTTGGTAGGAAAAGGTAACCCCCAAACCAACAGCAAGCTGTCCACACCAGTAGCAATGGAAGATCGTAAACCCTAAACCCTAAACCCTAAACCCTAAACCCTCCGCCGTCCGCAGCATCGGCACTGGTGAGTGGTAGAGTCGGCATGAACGGGGGTTTAATGGCTAAGGTTTAGGGTTGAGGGGTTTAGGGGTTTAGGGGTTTAGGGGTTTAGGGGTTTAGGGGTTTGGGGGTTTGGGGGTTTAGGGGTTTAGGGGTTTAGGGGTTTGGGGGTTTGGGGGTTTAGGGTTTAGGGGCCAATGTCCGAACTTTAGTGATTTCCTCTTCCTTGGAATTTCGTCGATGCCATTATCGGAAGGCGTATATATGCTTGTACTTGTTGTCGACAGGGGTTGTATTTCTGCTTCTTCCACTTCTTCGCCTCCTACCTGAGCCCGAAAGCCTGAAAGCACCAAAGCCCAGCCCCAGGCCGAAAAACAGAAGCGCTACACCCGAAAAGCCCCGCAGTGCGACCCTCTCGTTGAGGCTCATCACCTGGGTGATGCTCGTGGAGACTGGCCCCTTTTTCGCAGCTTGGGGGGGGATGGGAGCCTCGAAAGAGCTGCGAGGAGGGTGTCAAAACGTGTGAGGGTTTAGGGCTTAGGGTGTAGGGTTTGGGGTGTAGGCCAGGGTTTGTAGGGGGGTTGGAAGGGTCTGATGTTTCAGGAATTCTGGATTTGGCGACCCTAAACAGAGCATTGAGTGTGCGACTAGCGATATCTTCAGGGTTTGTTCTCGGGCGACGAGTTGAGGGTTTAGACTTTTCAGTTTAGGCTTTGCGGTGTAGAGGCCAGGTTTTGTAAGCTTTGGGGTTTAGGGCTTAGAGTTTAGAGTTGGGTAGGCCTCTGTGACTGTCAAGGCCCTATACCTTATGTGGTAGCCTTCGTCACGAGAAGCGGCAGCAGACTTGGGACGAGTTGTTGCTTGGTTCATGACAGCAAGCACACACTTGGGCATGCATTGCCGTAGCCCTGACAAGACCCATGATAAAGCCCGAAAAGATGGAACGCTTATCCACCACTATACAACCGCAAACAGGCGAACCCTTAGAACTATCCACGTCTTGCTCAGGCTTCCAGGGTGCTCAGGCCCCGCAGCCGTGTCTTGCGATATCATTAGGTTTGGGATTTAGGGTTTTGGGTCTCGGGGTTTTGAGTTCTGACCCCAACCAAGGCACAGATACCTTCTAACTCTACTTACTAAGTGCCATGATCCTCCACGCAAGACCTCATCCTTCAAGAGATGTGATACCCATGATAGGCTAGTGATAGGGGTAGCCGGGGTCGGCGATCCGCATACAATCCGGAACTTCACTGCCTACCTTCATCCCACCTTTGGAGCCGCTTGATCAATCCTAATACCGAGATCAACCCCGCACCTAAACCCAAAACCCAAAACCCTAAATCCTAAACCCAAAAGCCTAAATCCTACCCTAAATCCTAAACCCTACCCTCAACCCTAAATCCTAAACCCTAAACAACCCTAAATTTGAAACCCTAACACCTGGAAGCTCAAAGCAGGAAGGCTCGTGGAGAATCCTGCCCGGACCCCACAGACCTCTCCACGAAAGGCGCCCTGAAACCCATCGGGTTTAGGGTTTAGGCTTCAGGGTGTAGGGTAGGGTTTAGGGTTTAGGGTTTAGGGTAGGGTTTAGGGTTTAGGGTTTAGGGTTTAGGGTTTAGGGTTTAGGGTTTAGGGTTTAGGGTAGGGTTTGGGGTTTAGGGTGTAGGGTTTAGGGTTTAGGATAGGGTTTAGGGTTTGGGGTAGGGTTTAGGGTTTAGGCGAACCCTATCGAGGCAACTACCCGAGAATCTTCGGCTCCACCTGAAACGAAGCAGCCTGCTGAGTGGGCATCAGTCTGAATCAACTTTCCGGCGTTCGACTCCTTTGTCGCTTTCTGTGGCAATCTTCATCCTCATCAACATCACCACCAACCGCACCATCATAGCCACAGCTATACTAAGACTGTCAGCCTCTAAACCTTTAAGCCATACATGTCTAGACATGTAGCATCCCCCGCCCGCTTTGAGAACCTTGTTGAAAGCCTTTCTGAAGCCGTGTGGAAACTGGTATAACCCAAACCCTAAACCCTAAATCCCAAACCCTAAACCGAGCGGTGCCAAGACCCTTGCAAGCACAGAAGCGCATGAGCCGTTAAGCCCTAAACGCGAAGCCTCCAAACCCCAGTCGTTATCTTCGTCTGCGTAGTTGTCATAGTTAGGGTCCCTTCTTGGGTAGCCTGAATATTAGGTGCCGTACTATATTTTTTACCCAAAAAGGGACCATAGTTTTGACAACCGCAACCATTCATCTGAATCCAAAGCCACCTCAAAACTCCGAAGCCCTGAACCCTAAACCCTAAACCCTAAGCCCCTTAAACCCTAAACCCTAAGCCCCAAACCCTAAACCCTAAGCCCTAAACCCTAAACCCTAAACCCTAAGCCCGAAACCCCCCCCCCGAACCACGGCACTTTTGGGGTCCGTGAGGACGGCAAAGAGGAGGCCGTGAAGGAAGCCTGGGAGGACGCTGAGTTTGTTTTGGTTTAGGGTTTAGGGTTTAGGTTTTAGGGCCTTTTAGGGTTTAGGGTGTGTTTTTTTGTTAGGATTTCCACAAATTGTTGCATTATTTATCTAGTACTACTTATGTAATCGGGTACCTGTTTTAGGGTCTGCTTCGGTAGCGTTGGTTTAGGTTTGGGGTTTATGGTTTAGGGTTAGGTGGTGTTGGCTTGCTTTGTGTTTTTTAGCCTAGCCTTTTGAGGGTCTGTAGGGGTTCGGCAGTTCTCCAGCGTTCAGGGCTTTGGGTTGTAATGTGTACTAAGTTTCCTGTGCAAGAGTTACGGGTTCGCCGAATATAGGGGCCACATGGTTACTAATACTCTTTTTGTGGGGTTTCCTTGTCATTCTAATGGTGTAATAAACCGCAAAACCCTTTTGAGATCCTTCAGGCCCTTACACTAGGTTTTTGGGCTTAAGGGTTTAGGGTTTAAAGTTTAGGGCTTCCCTAAACCCTAAACCCTACGGTGTGGGGTTTCTGTACACGGCTTGCAAGTCGGCAGACTAAGAGCTGAGGCAAGCATGGTTCCTTGCGTGAAGCTCTACTTTGGATGCGTCTTCAGCCCTAAGTGGGCTCTGGTTAAAATTCCTCTAGATCCCCATTTTGGTATCTTAAATTAAGTTCCTTAACAAGAGCCCAGTAAAACAATCCCTGACCTCAAAAAAGCCCTACTCAGGGGGTCTGGGAAGTCTAGTCATGCAGGTCGTCTACTTGGGGATTCGAGTTTGGGAAGTAGGATTTTGAGCCTATGCACGTATTGGCTTTCCAAGCAATCTTTCAGGGTCCGGGATTCGCGTTTTGCATGTTGCCCTTCTGGATCTCAGATGTTGGGTTAAGCTGTCAATCGCTTCCTGATTGTGGTTTCGTGTGCAGGGCTTGCAATTTAAGGCCAGGCTTTGCCCAAGGCCCAAAACATCAATGTTATAGATGCAGACTTTACAGGTACCCTGCGTTATACCGTGAGGAGGAATCCAAAAAAATTGGCTGGCAGATCGTTTTGTTGCAAGGGTTCCATAGGGGTTGATATGGGAGTTTCCGAAAATAGTGGACCCCAATATAGTACCATAAATAGTAGGATCCTTATCATAAGGATACCAAAATAAGATACCCCTAAATTTCGGAAACTCCCATATATGTGTTCAGGATGTAAGGTGCTTCTTCGGTTGATGATACAAACCCTGCATTACCCATAATAAGGAATACACCATAATTCCCATAGTTTTGGGTCATTAAGGTAATGCAGCATTTATATCATCAACCGTTGCACCTCAAGCCGTCCCATCGATAACAGCCCAGTGAACCCGAGACCCCACACTGCTAAACGCTGAACCTCATAGGCCTACCCCAGGACCCCTTTTGGCCTCCCATCAGAACCCTAAACCCTTAACCGTAAGCCCTAGACTGCACTTACGGCGACTGCATCTTTCACAAAAACCCTACTATAGGGGCTTGAATACTTATATAATTATAGTATCATATACCCCCCCCCAAACCCTATTCAAAATTATTAAGGCGCATGTATTATAGGCCCTAAACCCTAAAAAACCAGAGAACCCTGCGAACGGCCGACCAACCCTCAATCTGGAACCCGGCCACTGGGATTTTCGAAGCCCCCGCACCCTCAACTTCAAGTTGCACCAGGCAATACCTAACCATTGATATTGGGGGAGCTAAGGAGCCAGGGATCATGATAATTCCTCTTAAATAAGGAGCTAAAGAGCCAAGGGAACCCCCAAAACCACTGGTTAGATACTATTCTCGGGTTTAGGACGTTTAGGGTTTTGCCTTCGTTTTTTTTTCATGTTCCGATCTTCTCATTAACCTAGATCCCAAGGCTCTTTCGCATCATGGGCCGCATATGAGCATGGCAAGCTCCGCCGTAACCCCCTAAGCCTCTGGAGCCAAAAGCTCGCGGAAGGAGAGCCACCGGTTGCTTCTGAGCTTGATTGAGAAGACCATGACGAACTTGGACAAGCCCACACGGCCCGCCGCCGGGGGGACAGGGTGGAAGGTCTAATGTTGGAGCCATATGCGCAAATGCAGAGGTCTGACAAAGCAGGAATAATATGACGCTTTATGTTATAGTTTAGAAATGGACCAAAACCCTATTATCAATGTTAACGGGTTAAGCATTTAACGACAGCAGGACTGCTGGGCACGGGTTTTCTCTGATGTGTTGGAAGCAGTTCAGTTGCAGTAATACTTCACTGTTGCCACGGTCGGCAGCATTTATTACTATTATTATTACAACTACTGCTGCCACTACTCCTGCTGCTGCTGCTACTACTACTACTGCTACTGCTACTGCTACTGCTACTCCTGCTCCTGCTCCTGCTTCCACTCCTACTCCTACTCCTACCGCTGCTGCTGCTACAAGTGTTGCTACTGCTGCTTTCGCTACTCCTGCTCCTGCTGCTGCTGCTGCTGCTGCTGCTGCTACTGGTATAAGGCTGCTGGTCCTGGCACTGGTACAGTAGCCAGGTTGCTGCTGCGACCTTGAAATTCACTAATGCGTGTTCGTTTTAGGTAGGTACCTCCTGTTGCTCATGTTACAGACTGTTTTCCTGCTACACTGTCTTTAACCCTAAACCCCAAACCCTAAACCCTAAACCGTAAGGTACGGAGTCATGAATTTCACAAGATTCACAAGCTTGCTCGGGATTGGCCAGATCAGATGGGATTCTTCGAATATCGGAGGTACCTGACTTAGGGGTCGCTCCAGTCCCTTAATGCGGATCCTGATGTTTTGGGAGTTCTTGTAATACGGATGCTAGTGTTTTGTGATTTTTACTACGGTCCCTGAATTTCTGAAGTTCCCTTTCGGCGCGATTCCTCCGCTACCAGGCAGAAGATCATGTGTGCCATCACTCTAGATGCCCACAATCGTGACGTTCAGGAGCGCCGGGACCCAAGGACTGGCTTGGTAGCGGATCAGCCCTATCAGACCCTAACCCCAAACCGATTGCAGCTTAAAGACACCCTAAACCCGAAGCCCTGAACCCTAAACCCCCAACAGGATCCTTTTCAAGGGACCGTAGTCGCAGATAGGCCCGCTTTCCAATTCCTCCATGGTAATTCCGCTAGGGCTGTAGACTGCAAGGTATCGCCCCTCAGAATTCAGTCCTAACTCCCCGACGGATTTTTCCTTAAACTCTTGCATCCTAAGTCTTCTGCCCTGACTCGCTGTAAACCCAGAGACTTCGAAACCAGGCCGTTATTCAGGGAAATTGAAGTCTCTACTCTTTTTGCAGAACTTAGGACTAATTTGTAAGTTCGATATGGAACCATCGTACATCCTTGCGGAACCCTGGCGCTTGACAAGCCTATAGTTGGCCTATAAACTTCATGTGTTGTACACTGTCATCGGCCCTTCTAATTAGCAGTAGTGCACTAATTGGCAGTAATGCAGTAATGACCAGTATTGCAGTCATTGGCCGTAGTGCAGCAATTGACACTAGTGCAGTAATAATTGGCAGTAGTGCAGCATCATCATCATCAGCAGCATCATCATGACCATCTGGCAGTACTGTAGTAATTGGCAGTCGTGCAGCACTTGGCAGTACTGGTCATTGCCTGTCGAAGGCACCTGTGAAAGGCAGCAATGACCAGTAGTGCAGTAATTAGCAGTAGTGCACTAATAGGCAGTAATGCAGTGTCCACATGCTTCCGGAAAGCGATGCCGAGTTCCTGCCTTTGGCAGCAAGCAAGCTCTGCGAGTCAAGCCTGAAGCAAAGTAAGCATACGGGTCTTAGGGTTTGCGGCATGAAGTTGCAGGAGCCAGACACGTGGGGGTCAGGCTACCAGGACCTCGACCCGTTAGAGCGGCTCAGGAGAGTGGGTCGTGTCGAAGTGCTCCGCCGCGGCTCTGCTCTGGAGAGCTACTGTAGGAACCTGATTCAGAAACCTTGGGCCTTTATTATGGTTCCTTATATGAACCCTACTATTTTGGGGTTATAGGCCCGGGGTTTCTTAATCAGGTTCCTACATTACCCAGAGACTCCAATATCCCTTATTTAAGGAATATACCTTAAATTATAGTAGGATCCTTAATATGATTTAAGGTATATTCCCTAGTTAAGGGATATTGGAGTCTCTGGGTACCAGACAAGGGGATTTGCGTTGCCGACCGACCCGACGGATGCGAGGCAGGACCGGTTTTCGTCGGCGAAATACTTAGGGGTACTTAGAAATAATTTGTAGTTTTTGGTTATCTTAATCCCTAAGAAACAGCTAAAATCATAATTTTTTGGGTTCTAAGTTCAGTATAGGAAACCTTGGAGTCACGGATGTTTTGCCGGCCTTTGCAGAAGCTGCCGTACCGTATGCACGTACAGTTGTGTGCCGCGGCATGCAGAAGAGCGTGCTCATACCCGGCGGTAAGGTTCAAAGCACGTGCATCAAGTAGGGCGGCTACAAGTAATAAGTGCCGTAGTTAGGGCTACAAGCCATCAAAGCTATCCAGTTACCTGACGTAAACATTTGAAGCCCTCGTTGGCAAGTCCCAAGACCCAAACCCCGAACCCTAAACCCTATTTCCCAAGCCCGAAAATCCTAGATCCTGAACCCTTAACCCTAAACCCCTAAGCCCTATAAACCTTCAGCCGCTAATCCCTGAACGGCTGAACCCGGGAGTTCGGGTGAAGGGTAATTTTTTGAGCTCCGTGCGCGTGTTTTTGAAGGATTATTGGTGGGTTTAGGGCCTTTAGGTCTCTTTAGGTTTAGAGCTTTTTGCTCTAGGGTTTAGGGGTTTAGGCACTTTGGAGGGCTCTGCCTAGGGTTCTCACTGCTCGCCGAACCTCGTGTAGGGGTCTTTTGCAAGAAGGATCCTTCTCGGAAGAGCTGGAGACTTGACAACATGCCAAGAAGCAGTTTCAAGTTTAAAGACGTTGTTGACGGAGCCATGACCCTAGATACTGAGTCCCATGATCCGTTGAGTCCATTGCCCAACGATCTGAATCGCTTAGGGAACCTGCAAGGAACCTTGAAGTGTGTTGGGGTCTTACATTAGGGTCCCCGGCGTTTCTGCGATTTATTAGAGGGTTGAGCGCTTAAGTTTTGGGTTCAAGGGCTTCAGGTTCGGGATCTGTAGCCTGAGGGTTTCCGTTTAGGGTTTGGAGTTTAGAGTTTCGTTGTTTGCGGCCGAGGGCTTGGGTTTTGTGGTGCTGGTTTTGTGGTTCAGTGGTGTGGGTTTAGTTACTTGGAGGATCAGGGGACTTAGTAAGTAGGGTTATAAGTACCCTAATTGGGGTTATAAGTAATTATAAGTACAGTTACCTTAAGCATAACCCTAGTTACTATGTCCCATGATCCTCCAAATAGACCCTAAACCCTAAACCCTATAGTACCCCTATAGATCCCTTAAAGGGACCCCTATAACCCTACTTACTAAGTCCCATGATCCTTTAAGTAGGGTTTCAGGTTCTACCGCGGCCGAGGGTTCCACCTGCTGAGAGTTCGGGGTTCCAAGCTCAGGGCTCAAGGTTGGCGGGGTGAACCCTAAACCCTAAACCCTAAACCCTAAACCCTAACCCTAACTTAGATCCCCAATACCTAACCTTTAAACTTTTTCGGGTTCTTACAGTTTAGTAGGAATCAGAAAGTTTAACCTTTCATTTCTGTGGCTTATTGGGGTAGTCTGTAACCCTAAGCTCTACCTTTCCCGAGCAAACCCTACTTTTTTGTAGGTTCTTATTATTCACCCTAGTATATGGAATCTCTAGGGACCCTACTTTTTGGTAGGTTTTGGTAGGTCGAGGTAAACCCTGATCCTGAACCCTAAGCCCGAAGTTAGGGATCAGGGCTCGGCCCTCAATTCCTCAAACCTGGCTTAGGGCTTAGGGTTTAGGGTGTAGGGTTTAGGGTTTAGGGTTTAGGGTTTAGGGTTTAGGGTTTAGGGTTTAGGGGCTTTTCCTCAAACCTGGCTTGATGTTCCCAGAGACTCCAATATCCCTTAATTAGGGAATATACCTTAAATCATATTAAGGGTCCTACTATAATTTAAGGTATATTCCTTAATTAAGGGATATTGGAGTCTCTGGGTTCAGCGGCTTTAGGAAGTAAGGATGTACATACATACAACGGGGCTGTTATCAGCAATTACTTCCAGCTATCGTTACCTTACATATCTTTCGTTTCTAGAAAGTCCCATGATCCTTTAAGTAGAACCCAGAGCCCTTGAACCCAACAAAGCCAGAAACAGCTTCTTCATGAGCCCGTACAGATTCCTTATTTTCGTTAGATCCCTTTGCAGGGCCCTTTAAGGAACCCTTCGAAGGGATTTCCTGAGGTCTGGTCATGGAGAAGGTGAACACTAAGGATGCTTTCCAGTGGCAGAGCATGTTGAAGTGCTACTGGAAGGAGGACCCAATGGGTTCCTAGTAAGGCCCCTATATCGGTTTAGGGTAGTTTAGGGTTTCGGGTTTAGGCCTATATTATAGTACCCCTATAGACCCCTATTGAATCCAAAGAACAGATAGGAGTCCTCAAGAGTCCCAGTTCCAGGATAAAGATGGTATACTTCTCGATTTGTGCTCGATAAAGATTGGAGGTCTCCAGGCCTTCGCCACTCACCGGTGGCCCATGAACCCTCACACGCTCCTAACCTTTTCGCAACACAGCAACGAAAGTACGTAGGTCCTAGCAAACGTGCGATTACGCACTTGTCTAGTTGACGCTACCTTGAAAGACTTACGCTGTGTAAAAGTCGTGACCCAAGGCATACATTCCGAAGCCAAGCCTACGGGCCAAACGCAGCGAAAGACACAAGTCTGAAAACTCAAGAGGGGTCCTAGGGGCAGAATTCTACACTCCTCCTTGCGACTTTCACGCGAGTGGAGGTTCGCACTTTACATGAATTCCGCCCGCCCCTTATTTCGGAGAAATCAATGCCTTCACCAAACAACCCCCTAACCACGAACGAACGAGGAACGTGTGCCGTCAGGCAAGTGCACACGGGTCTTAGGGGGGTCTCGGGCCTAAACCTTCTAAAAAACCCTAGGGGCGAAGGTTCGCCCTTGCAAGGCACTGCCGGCAGAAGGTGCGCTCCTGCCTGTACCCCGGTGTTCCAAGGGTCCCGCAGTCGTTGAAGAGGTGGACAACTCCGCCTCTTTGCATGGTAGTCATCACCGCTCCCGGGTTGACACCGGTGGGTGGCATCAACACCTGGTGTTGAGCATCGAGATCCGTCTGGACTCCTTGGCTCCGCCTCGTGATCCTGCCTCCATCTAAAACCTCAGTCTGAGAAAACCTCGAGACTTGCAGCAAGGTCGTGGTTGTAGTAGATGAAGTCGCGGTAGAGTGCCCTTGGGTGCTCGGAGGCTGGGAGGTTGGTCTCCCCCTTCGCTTGATCGGCTGATCTGAGGAGGACGGAGTAGACGAAGTCACCTCCTTGTCGAGGGCTTCTCGCACGGCCTTTTCAAGACGGTCTTTCTTCCTCAGAGCCCGGATGGAGGGCGAAGGGGGTCCTCGGCAGGACCTGCTTGCAACCTTAATCCCTTCCCAAAGGCCTACTATGGCTATGATCACAACCGCTCGTCACACCTTGGAAGTCCTCCTCCTCCTCACCTTGGCCTGAGCCTGGCATGACCTGTGCAAAGGCAGTGAGCGCTGTGAGCCACTTGCTCAAGGCTCCTCCGCATCCACACAACACCTCAACCTTCCCAACAGAAGGAGGCTCAGCTTCATCACTCAAGCCTACAAGGAGGGACAGCTCGTGAAGCCTAGGCCCTGCAAGGGGCTTCGTAAGCAGATCAGCGCACTGCACGTCCCCCGGGCAGTGCTCTAGAGTCATTGAGGACCCTAGCTGCTGCGTGAGCGCAGCGGCTCTCACCTGAAGGTGTCTTGTCCTCTGACTGGACCCGCCCTCGGCCAGGGCTATAGCGGAAGTGGAATCGCACAGCAGCGCGAGGGAAGGAGGCTCATCGGTGATGTCCCGCAGGACAGCCTGCAACGACTGTCCATAGATGGCACCCTCACTTAGCGCCTGCAACTCTGCTTCTGCTGACGAAATCGCAATCAGCGGAAGTTTTGACGCCTTCCATTGGATCGTCGATCCCATATACTTGATCAGGATCCCTCCCTGACTGTGTTTTCCGGTCGGCGCGAAGGAAGCGTCAGTGAAAACTTCCAGCCCCCTTTCGGCCTCTGGCCTCAAGCGGAGATGCCTATCCCTTGTCAGGGAGAGGTATCTGAACACTCTTTGTGCGACGTCGCACACATGTCGCGGGCGGCCTATGGTGTGCGATGCCATGTATTGCACCACAAAAGAGACGTCAGGACGACTCTTCTGAGCTAGCCACAGGAGCTCGCCGGTGAGGCGTTGCGCCTCCCTTAGGGACGTTGGGTAACTTACGTCCTCAGGATCTTCCAAGTCATCATCTGATAGCAACTCCTTTGGGCAAGGGATGTTACTGCCTCTGCCCTGAAACCCATTCTTGGCGAGGAGCTCGTCTATGTAAGACCTCTGGTCAAGCGCGAACCCGGGCTCATTTTCCAAAGGGCTTATCCCTACACCTAAGAACTTAAGGGGGTTCTGTCGGGTGGCCTCCTGGAGGGGATCCAACTCCCAGTTCAGCTGGGTGCACATTGCCTCGTAGAGGGCTTTCGCCACAGGATCGCTCGACAAGATGAGGAAGTCATCAACGTAGCACACCAAAAGCCCTTTCAGCTCACCATTGGGACCCCTTATCTTAAAGACATTCCCTTCAGTGCTACCCTGTTCCAAGCGGTGAGGCTCAAGGTTGCCTGTCTCGGCATTGCACAGCTGGAAGCTGAGGCCTGTGAGCGCAGCATTTCTGTAGTCTGTCCACCACCTCGGACTCTCCCTCAAGCCATATAAGGCGCGGTTTATTTCCCATATCTCCGCATCGGAGATGAGATTCAACGCCTTGAGGATTGCCGGTGGCTGCAACAGGTACCTGCGGGTGGTACCTAACGGCGCTAGCAGGAAGGCGGTATGCACGTCAGTGCCGAACGCTTTCCACCGCCTACTGGCTCCCTTCAGGAGTGCAGCGCGCAGGACGTCGCCTGCCACGCCTGCAGCATAGACGTCGCCGGTGTCGGTGTATCGGGACTCATTCCCGCACGCTACGATCCTCGCCTTTCTTCTGAAAGCCTGCTTCGGCCCATCCGGCCGGTATTTGCCGGGCTTGACCGTATACACTCCCTTGGAGTGCAGGGTGACGGCCTCGGGGTCCGATAGGAGCTTCTGGGCCTCGGCTCCCTTTCTCCGGATGATGGCTCCCTTTTCCTCAAGGCACTTGAGCTCTTCAAGCAGCGCGGCTCTCCAACGCTCAGCGTGCTTCCGGGCTTCGGCTGGGGAAACTGTGTAGGTGGTTTCCAGCGAGCTATCCCCGAGTGCCTCAAGCTTAGCTTCTACATCCTTGGTGTAAACCTCTATCTTGTTTACCTCCGGATCCTCATGCCCTTGGTGTCCAAAGGAAGGGCGGTACTCTGATTGTGGAGCAGCAGAGGCCGGAAGCAATAGCGAAGAGGGGATTAAGACCGCAGGGTCTAGCCTATACACCGGAATGGTAGGGCTGGCGGGTGGAGATCTTGGCTCACCGCTAGGCCTCGTCTCGTCTGAAGAACCTGTTCCCTCAGATCGGGAAGAGGAGGCGGTCGTAGGGCTCAGTGCACGGACATACGGATGAGGGCCTCTGGAGCTGGAAGACTGAGTGGACCCCGACGCGGGAGCCCTTCGTCCTTGATTGATCTCAGAGCCGTGCAACAGCGGGATGCTCGAGAGGTAGTAGGCTCCTCCAGCCCCTTCGTACGACGCCCGGTGGCGTCGGTCCCCCCTTCGGAGAACTCTGGACATCATCTCAACATCCGCAACGGACTGGGGAGTTTGGGAAGCCCGCATGAGGCATCTCACAAAGAAGAATTGATCCCCTAAGTAGTTGCCCTCCCTATCTACATCTTCCGTCGTCCTCTTTAGCCTAAACCCAATGTGGTACTCCTGGGGACTACGGGAGTCGGCATACAGGTCCCTGACCTGACCCAGTAGTTCTACCACAGGGACTGGTTCCTCCGGCTCGGAAGGGCCGTGGTCTATCGGATCACCGAGATACTCTCGGAGAATCATGTCTCCATTGTGAATCCCACTCTGAATGACACCACTGGTCACTGCTGCAACAGCCAATCTCTCATGACTTTCATTGGCCCTGAACATTGTCTGAGTGGCTTCATCAATGACGTACCCTCCTCGAAAGAACTCACCTTGAGTTCCCAGTCCTCCCTTCCTCTATTTCCTCGCAAGTACCCGCGGAAGGTTTCCTCAGACACCAAGGTAAACTCATAGTGTCCCCTCCATGTGTCGGGCTCTCTTGCAAGGGGAATGGCCTCAACCTTCCTAATCTCGGGCCTATTAACCCTAAGGACTGGCTCGCCCTCCTCTCCGGCAGTGAGGTCCCCCGGCAACACGAAACCCAATTCCCGGAGCTTGCTCCTTTGGTCCTCACTAAGGAACTCTATCCTAGAGACCGTATACCCAACCAGGATCACCCTTCTGCCTGCCCACGGCTCGGTGAGATGGAACTTCGACTGGGCCTGGAGGGTCTGGGGTCCCGTTGCAACATCAAGCAGTCTGCCCGCGGTGGGCTTGCCCTTGACATCCCTCAAAACATTTCCGAACTCATTTTCCTCCCACACTGCACCACCTTCAAACCTGGTCAAAGGCAAGATCAAGTTTGGAGTTGCCTCATTTCTGGAGTCCCGGTGTGGAGGTGCCATCACCTCCTCTAGAACTGCCACTGAGGAAAAGCACATGTGGGGAAAAGCTCTCCGGAGAAGCCTGGTAAGGCACTTGATGGCAAGCGGGTTCTCCGCACAAGACCTTCTCAAGGAGGAGATTCCTCCTCTGCACATGGCACCACAGTAGAATGCCCGGCCCTCTTCGCCTGACGTCTGATCCCCAGCCAGGGCCGGGTGAGGGCTCTCATAAGGAAGCCGTCGCGCCATCTGCTCGACCCCCTGTGTTGAGATCCCTGGCCCGAGCTCCAGCAGTGCTGACGCGAGCTCTTCAGAAGAAGCTTCCAGGGCAGGCTCTTGTTCAGGAGGCACTAACCCAAAGCTATCCTTCCTAAACCTGGCAAACTTACGGAGCATCAGACGCCCTACAACCGGAGTGACCCCGTTAGGGTTGCAACTCATTCTCGACCTGGTGGTCTGGAAGACATTTTGGGCATACTCCTCATCATTCGGTTCCATCGTTAGGCCGGCGTCATGTGCTTCCTCCTCTACACGGGAGAGGAGGTCTCTAGAGATGGGCTGATTGGCGATCACTTCATCATAGAATCTCGCCGGAAGCTGGTCCAGGATAGGACGGGTGATGCGAGGGTTGTGACGGGGCTCGGGAGGCT